TACTCACTTGGTAGGTGGTAAATCAATCGAGGCAAGAATAAAAGGTCAGATTTTTTCCATCCACCCGTTAATTGCAGAATTACGGCTATGGCATTTGGAAAAAGGTTTCGCATGTCACAAATATCTGAAACTTTGTGTCTTGCGTTGACACTGACGGTTTGGAATCCATGCTCTCGTGCAAAACTTATCTGCAAATGAACATGTTCAACCTTAACTCGTATACTCTTTGTACTTTAGTTGCGTGAGGCGAATCCCACTTGGGAAGGGAACCTGATTATGATCAGCATCGTAACCAGGATTGGAAAGTGCTCTGCTTGATTCGGCTCTCTAAGAGTCTAGCTTCTGCTGGCTGGCCTCTCAGACGCGGACGAAGACTTGCTGCCAAAACTATGGCATGTGCTTATTATTAAACCTCTCTATTATTATTATTCTCGGTTTGGAGCACCAATTCGATCCATTACATTCTCGACCTTCAAGAGGCTTATCTCGTTGCTCTTGGCTGCACCCACTCCTAACACTCCGTCGTATTCATAAAGCTCTTAATCCCTGCTCCTCCTCCTCGGTCGAGCCACTCTAAGAATATACAACAGTTCACATCTGCCTGGAAGCAATGCCAATCTCCCAGAGACTGAATTGTTTAAGATTGTGTGCATGCTGGGAAATATATCTTTAGGTAAGCTTTACTTTACTTTAGACGTAATAAACAGATTAGTCAATAAACATAGTTCTGCACATTGCGTGGAAAATTGAGCTTTCTTTGTCTATGTTATGCATGCTTGCCAAATACCTCTAGATCTGCATAAATAGTTGTATGTACCGATGATGATTCTTTGCTAAATGGCTCGACGGGTTGTGCTCCGATGCTGATCAAATACATCATGCGAGATGCTTCTCACGAGCGTGATCAATTATGGAGAGTAAGTGATTCAGGTCAAAAAAATAACGAGCTCTCATAACATGCATAATTCTTGAAGATTAATCTTTCAATACATTGTTATATCTCGAAAGTTCGAAAATTTTTTCAATAGTATCATGTGAACAGGATATAATTTTGAATCATTTTCATTAAATGTAATGTAATGCAATGTTGAAATTTTCGGAGACCCCAAAAAAATAATATAATTTCATCATTGATCATTTACTCGTAATAGTTTCTTGTCAATCTTACTTTTTCTGGTCTCAAGTGTAGATTTTCGAAATAATATTTGTAGCCCCTAACATGAAGGGTCCAAAACTATGCCCCGTTCTAGAGCAAAAGTTGCCAAGTTGACCGACTCTGAGCCTATTTTCAGGCAAGCTGCGGCAGCTGTTCTTATCAGCCTTATGGACACGAGACATTTGTTTTAAACAAGTGTGAAGTGTGATCTTTGATTTTAATACCATCACCTCATCGAGCAAGGCCACTCTCACTGCCAGCTACGAAGGCCATTGTTCATCTTCCATTTGATCTACTACGAAGTTTGAGCCATTTGTAGAACTCAGATTGTTTTCCAAGGTGCCTGGTCCCATTCCAAAAAAGATGAGAATCTCGTGCCAAATTTGCAAATAGTGAATTGCCTCCGACGATTTTCCAGGTCTCGAAGCAAACTGCAAGTGGATCTGCATGATCCAGCTCACACTTTGATTGATATCCATGAGGTCAGATTTCTCGAGATTATTCTCCGAAATCGCTTGGTCTCCTGGACATCTTCCAATGGATCTGCACGAGTAAAAGTTTAGAGAAGAATATCATGCACTTGCTCGAGGGCTCAGTGAAAAACTCGGTGAAATTGGATTCTGAGATCATGGAGCCTTTGGGAAGTGGTATGCATCTTTCCCCAAAGGCTAAATGCATCGACGAGAGCGAATTCCATGCGCAGCATAAATAAGGTTTGAGCTTTCCCGTACGAAATTGCAAGAGTGCTTGGGATCCAATCGATCTTCTCCTGGCTTCTGGGGGTGGATGAAATCGGGCACTGGGAAGTTGAAAAGCATCAAAATGTTCAGGCCAGTCAGTCAGCACAGCACTCGCTGCTTTCCGTCGGACATCGGACGTCGGCATCGGCACTCGGTTCGAAGCCTGAGAGTTTGGGGAATATTTCAAAACGCGGAAAAGAAAGAGAGAGAGCTCGCACTTGTGCTGCAGGCAGAACGAGCTCTGGTAACCGACGCAGTGGACGGAGGGATGCCCATGCGATGCGAGACTCAATTGGATGGAGGAAATTCATGGAGCCCATGAAGGGCCAGAAAGGCCACGAAATGCCCAGCTCCCGAAGGGTGTAAAGGGCGAATGGGTAGACGGTTATGGCGAGGGCATGGGGGATGACATCAGACAAGGAGGAAGAAGAGCAAGAGTCCACAATTTGGGGAAATGCGGGAGCAGCAAGACGTACATGAGCCGGGATGGGATGGGGTGGTAGGGTGGAGGTGCGGAGCATTTGAGGAGGAACTGGAAAAGAGGGTGGGACCTCGGAGCGAGGACAAGTATGTTCCAGGTGAGGCTGGGCACACTTTGGAGCAGAGAGCTTTGATAGGTGGGACTGCAATTGACAAGAAAATGGATGGTGTGCATTGCAATATTTGCCGATGTGAAACCTAATCCCTGGAAAGCGAGAGCCTCTTTACGACCGAGGGAGGGAGGGAGGGAGGTAGCGGCACCCTACACTTGCTCTTCTTTTGAGGCTATTCTGGCTGAATCAAGATTTCTGCACTCACGATCGAAGTAGGACCCCTCCCCTCGCTTGCATTTGACTGCTTTTTCCAAAGCACATCGAAGACTACGACGTAACAAGAAGGAATGGTGAACGGCCGGTAGTAGTTGAAAACCTTCCAGTTCTCATGCCAGTCTGACCTCTGAATTGAAACCAAAAGATCCACTATCCCTGTAAACAAAGGTTTCTCCGGCCGCAGCGGCTGCTGCTCAGATGTCCAACTTGCTTTCGACCACGAACCCATTATAAAACCAATATCCTCCTTCCTTTGCAAGACCTCAAGCAAGCCATGCAAGCATCCATCCATCCAGCCAGCCAGCCAACCAATGTGTACACCGAGCAGTGAGTGTGTGTGTATGTGTGTGCTAAAGCTTCCATCGACTTTTTCTCTGCTTGCTTCTTATCCAGAAGTTATGGTGCACTAGCGCGAAGCCACTCCCTTTGTGATATACATTGCTCAAAAGCCTGCTCCCTTCTGCTACTTGCGCACTCACTCACTCCCTCCCTCCCTCACTCCCTATCAATCTCTATCAACCATGAATCAATCTCTCTCTCTCTCTCTCTCTCTCTCAATCCCAACAAACAAAACGCAAAAGTGTTCGTGTTGAGATTGGGAGAAATTCAGTCGACAAAATGCAAAGCCTAAAGCAAACACATGAATCGAATAAAGACCTTTTGTTTGTTTGGGAAAGCAGCAGCTATGAGTAAGATGATGCTGATCCGGTCATCCACTTCACTTGTGTGCTCGATGGCGAGAGAGCGATTTGGTCGCATGCTATTATGCTCAACTTGTGCGACGACCAACCAACAAACAAACATTTTATGCTCGACCCATTCATTATAACATAACATTCTGTTCGGAGGAGCCGGAATCTAATAATCGCGTCTCAACTTTCTCCTCCTCCTCATCTCTGTGTCTGTCTGCTTGCTTGCTTGCTTGATGCTTGATGCTTGATGCTTGCTTATCCACATGTTATGATGATGATGATGCGGTGCCCAGACCTTTTCCCCCGCTCGCCCCAGGTTCCGCAGCTCACGGCAAAGCAAGCAGGCAGGCAGGCAGGCATGGCATGATCGATCGATGGATTGATTATCCACACAGCCCATTCTCTCTCTCTCTCTCTCTCTCTCTCTCTCTTTCAGAAACTAACACCAAGAAACAAGAACAACAACATTCTCGTATGACACCTTTTGGGCCATGGTTGTGCTCGTAGGCTCGAGAAGCCATTCTTAGCTTATTCCGGCTAGCGAGGCGTAGCCTGGACTAGGCGCAGGGGCATACCATTTTCATAAAATTCCGGTTAACGACCAGCTCGATCTCGGGGCAAGGCTGGCCGCTGCGTCAGCCTAGCTAGCCTTGGCCCTTGGCCCCGTTCGGTTACGTATTCTAGCGCTAGATCTGTAGTTGGATCTTAGGCTCCGGCTCGTGGGGCGCTTGGATGTGGGTCCGGATGTGTTTTCGGGAAGAGGACAGTTTCTGGCTTTGACTTGCTTTTCAGTCCCCCCTTTATTGCCCCCGCCCGCCCCACTATTCTTTTCTTTTCCATTCGCGTCCTTTCTTCGCCCTCGCTCGGGATTGTGATATTTCTGCTGCTGGGTAAGCCCAAAAACGTCTCGTTGCAGCCCTCGAGTTTCCTTTCTTCATGTACAGTATCGCAACTGAGCTCCAGCCGGTCACTGACCCCCCTCGCTCTGCTCGCGGGCGTACTTCCCCGTGACCTTTACCGTCGGTTACCGTCGGTTACCGTCGGTTACGAGTCGGCTCTCGGGCGCTTCGGAATCCAGATCCGCAGGACAGCGTCAGCGTGCACGAATCCGGTGGGCGAAATTCCCCGATTCCATTGTACTGTACAGCAATGGTCCCATTACAGTAAGTGAAGTTTAGTTTCCTGGCATTGCATTTCATTTCATTCCGTTTCATGTCGTTGCATTCGAATGACCGGATCGATTGAGGTTCCACACTAAAACTCCAACCCGGATGGACATCAATGGGGAAGTGGAAGGGGAAGGTGGGGTTGGGCTAACGGTTAGCCCCAACCCCAACCCCAACCCCCTTCCCCTTCCACTTCCCCTTTGGGGGGTTAGCCGCTAACCCCAAAAACTCACGCAGATGTCCGGGCGAGCGTTTGCTTACGAATCTTCGACGGGGCAGACTAAAACCGTTTTAAACAGGCGGTAAGTCGATGGGATGCGACGGGATCACATGATGACGACGACTGACGGTCTGGGCCGTCGTTGGGTGAGAGTGAATCACTCTGTCGCATGTCACTTAAACCGCACCCCCAACCCCCAGCCCCCATCCCCTCCCTTGCCCCTCCCTTGCCCCTTGGCCCTTATCCTCCTCAGCCACAGCGAGAACGTGTCGCAGTGGCTAAGGAGTGAGTGAGTGAGTGAGCTTCAGAGTAGCCCCTGGAGGCGACTGTCGTTCGCTCTCTCTCACACTAGCGGATGGAGAGCGTCGACAGATTGGAGCTCGGATCGAGCTTTATTAAGGCCGGACAGATTTGTGTGTGCTGCGCGAGAAACGATGGGTTTGCAATTCTCTATATTTGGGAGGCAAATCCGAAGCCCTCGGCAGGCAGATCTTGGCACTTTAAAGGCGATCGGTTAGATGGATGATGACGATGCCGATGATAACCTACAGCTAAATTCAGAGAAACCGCCAAAACAATGTTGAAATGTAGTCTCAGGAGATAGCAGGGCCTATTATTAAGCCCCCAATCATACTTATGGCTAAATTTGGCCCAAAAGCTGCAACTAAATTTGGCTCTCGAAAAGGGCTTCTCCAAAGTATTCGATGGGCGCCACAAACCCCTTTTGCTGGAGTGTGCTGTGATGTGGTCGATTTTGAGCCCAATGTCCTTCCCAAGGTCTCCTCTTCCTCCTTTTTCGGGAACAGTCGGATTTTCGTGACCGACCTCCTTCACCACGTCGACACCAATCCACAATCTCTGACCCCGGATCATCATCCCAATCGTGACCAAAGTGAACTTCCCCGATGAAATTGATCATGGCCATTTCTTCCGTTGACACATCCGACACCTTTTACTGGCGGTTTATGATCGAGTTTATTACTTAACCCTCGGACCCAATTTTTTTCCTCTGTACCGATGATTTGAAGTCGCTAACATCTTATGTAAAAGCTTCTGTAGTTAGATCATCCTTGGAGTAACTTCATGCCTAGAATTTATGATGTGTTTTGACAGAGGGTTGAGAGCTTACAATTAACTTCTATATCTTAGTAATCATGAGCATGTTATGAAGTAAATTTTTTCATTCTTTCTTTAGTAATAGATATGATGATTTTTTATAATGTTTTTTCCTTTTATTAGATAAGTATTATATTATGAATTTGTAGATCATTCATTGAGCATATAAAATAATCTACATCCAAACATTTCATTGTTGTATCATGTGATTGATATATATATATATATATATATATATATAAAACACTGCAAGTCTGATTCAAAGTTGGTCATGGTAAGTTGTAATAGTCAATTAGAATACACAAAAATCCATAGCTGGTATAGAGAATGCGAGTTGGAAAAATACTCATAATAATACGAAATCAGAAGCATCATGAAGTTCCTCACCGAGAACTGAAAACGTCGAGGAAAAACGTCGAGGAAAATCGTCGAGCGAAGCCCGAGCATCATAATTGCAAATATAATGCGCATCAAAGTCAATCCGATCTCGAACTCCGAATCACATTCCGAGGCGTGATTCGAAAGCTCATGCAAATCGATCATCGTCTTCATGCAAATAGAAGGAAACAGAATGGCCACACATGTTGAAGAATTTTGTTTCCAAGCCCGAGCCCTACGAAAGAAATTAGCGGCAAAAGGGCAGAGGCGAGAGCATTGATGCATCAATGGCGTCAGCGGGCGAGAAAGAAATACGACTTCTCAGACAGGAATGTGCTTCGGATTTTAGACACAAATTGAACGCGGGCTACTCTAGTCGGACGTTCGTTCAAGGGACAGAAGAAGAAGAAGCAAAGGATTGGATTGTATGGAGTCGAGTAGCGAAAAGGAGACGGAGAGGAGGACCTACATGTCGATACTTTGCTTGACAGACATGAGGTACGAGACTACCATGAGGAAGAATTGCCACGGACCGACTAAATATACACATTGACTCGAGATACACGACAAGGAAGAAAGAGGAAGAAAGAGGCAAACGTGTTCGTGCTACGAATTAAGCAAAAGAAAGTCTAAAGCTCTGGAATTTCTTGTTGAAGGTGCACCGGAACAACAAGCGAGCCGGCCGGCCAGCCAGCCGGCCGCTTTGATTCATCGAGGGTACGTTAAAATTCTCGGTTCTCGCAATGCTTGCAGACATCATCAAATTTGATCCGAACCGCGGTTGTGGACAAAGAGCGGAAACATTATTCTGCTGAAGAAGAAGGAGAAGAAGAAGGTTTGAGGCGTCGTGGCAACCCTAATTGGCCGAGACAAGAGTCTATGGACGAGTCAAAAGGTGACCCTGCTCTTCTGGGGACAGGAGAAATGGCTGGCCAGTGAGGGCGGTGAAGTGCTGCATACTCCTCCTCACCACATCACTGGATCACTGGATTATGTGCCTCGTTTTTCCTGTTTACTGGAAAGATTATCTTCAATGTTGGATGTCTGAGGAACAAAGAACGGGTCTTGACACATGCGTTAAAAGCGGTGGATGACGAGCTGCACTTATTGTCGATCATTCCTTGAGACAAGAGAATCGTTTACTTTTTCTTCCCCGAGTGTCTCTCTCAAATTTTAGTTGTCACATACCCACTTCCAGAGTTTGTGCCTCGTTGACGGTCTAACACCCTTTCCGTCTCCGTGACTTGGCCCCTGCATGATATTTCAGATCGACTCTCGAAGTCAGCTGCGACGAGGATCATCAAAAATTAGTCGAGTCACACCTGATCAAGTCCACTCATCTCCAAGTGGCAAACAAATGGAAGAAGGTCATTTTCTATCAAGAGATCGCCCACCATATCCACTCTACCGGTATCTTCTAAACCCTCTTCGTCTTTTAGCTAGACCATTTTCTCCATGTGCTAAGCGAAAGTTGATTACCGTAGTTGATTGAAATATCTTTCCCAGGATTCTGTGAAGTTATGGGTGGAGCTGAGTAGTTAGACCGCATAGCCAAATCGGAGAAATAGTCGTCGAAGCTGTCTGCCTTATTGAGGTTATGGTTGTCTCTTGTCTCTTTCTTGGTATGCACTCGACAATGGAATAAGGTTGGAACGGTGTTTTGCCTATTCGAGCATTCTTATTCTTCGGCTAAGGATGAACTGTTCCATAGCATTAGCATGACATCGGTTGCTAGGCATTTTCTAACGACACGTACGCCATGCATCGGTACATCAAGAAATTCTCATTAGTAGAATTGGCACCAATTGCCAGTAATGAAGGTCTTAGTTTTGACTTTGGTTAGTGGGTACATAGACATTGCGGATCAGTGAATTCCCTTCCCTGCCTGGAAAGTGTGTGAAGTATCTTAAGTCAACCCAAGAACTTGAAACCCGTACAAAGTAGATGAAAAATCTCGGCCCGAAGGAAACAGAAAGAAATGCTTCATGCCAAAGATCATCGGGCCTCCAAAATGATCTTTTACTGCCGTGCCCACAACTTCTGCTCGATCGCAAGAGAAGTTTTTTGAGAACATGAAAAGTGGTGTTGAGATCTTTTTTTTGTTGTATTTTGCAGATCGAGTTCTCCAAACGGACTTCCTATTCCTGGGGAGGATTAGACTGCTCTAACTTGTCGACAGGACTTTCAACTCGGAAGTTCGTGAGTATGTTAGAAATACGGTTTTGGTTCCCAATTTCTCGCTAAGAAGCTAAAACTGTGTTGGCCCTAGACGGGTAAAGTCGTATCGTCTTGTGGATTGATTTTCAGATGCAGAGTATGGCTATTTGTTACACATTTGTGGAGACATTGCGTATTGCAGGGGTGAGTCCATATTCGGGCCATACAAGAGAGATATCAACCCATGAGATGTGCTGGATTCGACCCACCCATATATCATATCATAATCCCTCCCAACCTGCGGTCGCAAGGGTTACTTACCACTAGACCGTATCTCGATTCGATGGTGATTTGCTTTCTTCAATTGTCATATTGCGTAATGTCTATCTATCTCGGTCCCTCCAGACACTTTCATTAGTTTCTGCACTCAGCCTCAGAGAGAATAAGAAATCAAATAGCAAGGGTTATTTACCACTAGACCGTATCTCGATTCGATGGTGATTTCTTACTTCAATTGTCATATTGCGTAATCTCTATCTACCTCGGTCGGTCCCTCCAGACACTTTCATTAGTTTCTACACTCAGACTCAGAGAGAATAAGAAATCAAATATTTCTGCATGAGCGTCTCATACAAACGTTGTTGTGCCCACAGAACGTCATCGTAAATATAATTTTTTCTGGGCCATGTCGAACACATGGATCGAAAATCAGTATCATATTTTTTTCCGATGAGATCATCCGGGAAGATTGCTGACGACTCATGCCTAGAACAGGATGTCCATGCAAAGAATGACTATTGTATTCAGTTGTATCACATGTTGTCTAAACTACGGTCCTCATCATCCAGGCTCACATGTCAAGTCAAAATATATGCCTCACCAGGAGCCCACAACGGTTTGCATTTCAACTGCAGGCATTAAAAGTGGACATTGTTTATCGGTAAAAAATAATGAATATTCACGCTGACAGAAAAACAGCAGAGACGGCTTGCAAGTGACAGTGGAGACAAGAATAATCCCACATGGCTACCATATTCAACAATGTTTTTGATATTTGTACATCCATCCGCTTCATACGTATGTTTAAAAGGCCCGTTTTGTTCGGTAAAAAGGAAGAAAGTTTGCGAAGCTGCTCACGATGAGTTTTGGTTGGGTGCATGTACAGAGATCGGAAAGTACGCGTGAATATAAAACTGGAGGAAGATGGAAGGAAGGAAGGGAACAACAGGGATCATGCAGAAATTGGCAACTCACAGCCATTGTGTATGCTCGAGGTGCTGCTGTCTGTCATAAACAAAAGACGAGATATAGTATTCTAAGAATTCGGTATTTGTTTATACGCAAGCGACGTTGTACTCTGTATGCTGTATGTCTTCAGCAGGGACAGAAGATCAGAAAGTACGTTCCAGTCAAAAAGCAAAAGGGAGAGCTTGGGCAGGCAGGCAGGCAGGCAGGCAAGAAGAATCAAGGATCGTGCCGGAAACCAAACCCGGAAGGCTCATAATCCAGCAATTATGACTGTAGAAAAAAAACGAATGAATGAATGAAAAAAGAATAGTTTAATACGAGGGACGGCCGATCCTACTCATACATACGATAGATGTCCATATGGCGTGAGACACAAAGACCATGGTCTACGTATGAGTCAAAAACCTTTAGCAGACAAGGGGAATCCATGACCATGGAAGGGCACTGGTACTACGTCACAAAGGTCATCAAAGTTAAGGGTGGGGCTTGTACATAGTACAGATACTGCATGTCTTTTCCGGTGTGGGGAATATTTGCTCGTTGGATCAATTATTCGGCCCAGGCAGGCACCAGGCCACAGGCAACAACAGCCAGCACCAGGACCCGACTTGTAGATGGATGGATCGATGGATCGATGGATAGATAAATCAATAGATAGATAGATAGATAGATAGATAGATAGAGAGAGAATAGAGATCGCTTTGCCGATTGGCACCACCACTATTGCAACCTTTTCTATTCTTTTCTATTCTATCGAGCCCTTGTATGCCTCTGCCTGCCCAATGCCCAAGGCCCAATGCCAGGCCCGTCCCTTTGCTCACTCACTCACTGCGCGGCACATGGTGCCGAAGTCGCTAACAAACTCGAGTTGGAAAGAGTGGTGTCGTTGGGGTTTCGAGAGCTGTGTATGATGCGAAGGCTGGCTGGCTGGCTGGCCATGGGCCTTGCCGGTGGTCCCATGCCGGAGAGAGGGTTAGGGAGGGAGCGAGGGAGCGAGGGACGGACATCATGTTCACCGTCCATGGTGGAGGAGGAAAATAGGAAAGGAAAGGAAGGGAAGAGATGGTCGAGCCCTGCCCTGCGCTGCGCTGCCCTGTCTGCCCACTTGGTTCGAACCTTTTGCCAGCATCGATCGATCGATGGGAGTAAAATAAGCGGGTCCTGCAATGGCAACGACGGACGAAAGGTGCTGTACGGGCGCCATTGATGACAAAGCCAGCAGCAGCGCAACTGCGTAGGTGCGGAGTCCCCGCCTTTCGGGGACATGGTGACGAAAGAGAGAGACTCGATGGATGGAGTAAGTGAGCAGCAGCAGCAGCAGCAGCAGCAGCGAGCCCAACCCTCTGCCCTGCCCTGCCCTGCCCTCTGCTGCCATGGCTGTCGAGCGAGTGCTGCGTGGGGCCCGGCCCCCATGCCCTCCCAGCTCCCAGCTCGCAGGGCTGCCGAGGCTCGAACCAAATGGCCAAGCTAACGCTTGTGTACGCCGACTATGACTCTTGCTTGTGCTCAGTACTTGGGTGACAACGACCGAACCAGCGAAAGCTACGGCTATGGTGGGCTTCCATTCCCCTCCACTGGGCCCTCGTTTTGTCCCCGGCTGGCTGGCTAGCTGCCTATTCCTTCATTCCGTACTTGCAAGCGTGGATTGATGACAATTCGAATACCGCGAGGCAGGACGGACGATCGATCGATCGCACACAGGCACGCTCTTCGTGCCGTGAGCTAAATTTGGTCCGGCACTCGACGCACAACGCATAACGCATGTTGTGGATATTATACTCGATCGATCGATGCACTTGCATTCATTTTCGATTTCTCTCTCCCTCGAGCGTTATCCACTTGCGACTTTCTTCTTCTTCGTAGACCTCGAAACAGTCTTCGGAGACCGACAGTTTGTGGTTCGGCCGTGCATGCACGCACACAATTCCCGTCATGGTTTCGATCGATGGTTTCGCAGCCATGGCCTTCATCATCGTCGACATACACGATGCAACCTTACGCAGTTTTCCTTTTCTTTTCTTTTCCTTTCTTTTCTAAATCTCGTCTCCAGAATTTCTGGTTCCGGAGGCGCATATGAATTTATGTACAACGATGAAGCGTTCGGTACACAAGTAACAAACCGCTGACTGCCTGCCTATGGATCAGATCAGAGCTGTGCGGGGCTCTTCCACTTGCGCCACGAGGCATCGAGTGAAATCTTCCTCTCTAAGTGAATTTGTCTGTGCCCGGTTTTCTCGTGGGCGCTTGGTTGACTCCGTAATCAAAATCCGTGGGTACATACTGAAACCCTGCAGCTTCAGGGTTGAAATCCGGCGTCTCGACAAACTGCACAGCACAGCACAGCACATGACATGACATGAAAATGATCAGAAACGCGGCCGTACCTCGAAGAATCACGAATGAATGAATGAATGAATGAATATTCAGAGCGGCTGTCTGGAACCTCGACATGGGACTCATAAAGCATGTATCATTATTTCGAATATCTGTAAAGATTCATGAAAGGTATGCGTGTAAGAAAATAGATTATAAAATGCGCTGTCGACACTGGCACATTTTGTTCATGGCGAGGCATCGTCGGGAGCAAGAAGGGCAAGGAAGACGGAGATGGTAAGAATGCAAAGGCGAAGAAAAGGTGGGTATAAAGTGGTTGGGAATATTTACTCCCGCTTTCCAGTCGGGAAAAAGTTGTCCCCGGAGTATAATATTAATATCCACATATCGAAAACTGTTAGATCATAATTTGCAAAATGTCGCTCTCATGTTGTGATAGTGTGAAAGTGACACACACACACACGGGGAGGATTTAAGGACATGAAGAAAGAATGTAGTAATCCAGAGCTGCTGCGAAATGTAGCAGAGAGAGCAGAGAAGGCTATTAAGGTCGTCTCTGCATCTCCTCCCTTTACAAAAAAGAGAAAGCCGAAACACACATCGACGGCAGATGTTCCAGGCGAGCACACACTTCTGATCCGAACGATTGATTCCTCACGCACTCATAATGATCCGATGATACTCCTAATCGCACTGCGACGAGCACACAGTGGTCGATCGATCGGCTCGATGCATTTTGGGGATGGGAGAAACCCAGAAATCGCAGAGTGAGAGAGAGAGAGGGGGAGAGAGAGAGAGACGTGGTCGAGTGCTAGTTTCAGAAGGCAGGGGGGAGGGGGGGATGTAGGTGTCAGAGGCGACCTGGAGAAAGAGATTCAGGATTCGTTGACGAAGACCTGACAGCGTTCTGGCAGGCCGGCCGCGGTTCATGAGATCAGCTTCCCTTTCGACCAGATCCAATATCTCCCTGGTTAACGGGCAGTTGAACACTTGCACTGTCCATTTCACGTAGCCCAGCACTCCCACCCGCTCGTCGTTTGTCCCCACCGGCTTGGCCAAAGCATGGTACAGCTGCTCCATCCAGCACATCCATCCCCACGGCCAAACGTATCATGTCCTGTCCATGTCATATCATATCCTACGTACTCTGTACTCCATACTCCATACTCTCTCCCTTACCTCTCGCTCGGACTTACTTACTTCTCTCACTCCTGCATTACAGACCTCGAACTATCAATCAGTCCGACGCAAGCCACACGTGCAGTAACTACTGCTGCACCAGCAGCCAGCAGCCAGCAACAGCAGCAGCGTAGTCTGTAGTAAGAATCGCTCATGTCATTTTCTTCTTCGAGGGAGGGCGTTCGTGTCGCACTCGATTGATCTACCTCTCGCACGGATCTGGTGTTCCTTGTCCGACTGTCGTCACTGGGCAAGACGTACATGACATTTCTACCGGGCATGACAATTCTGTAGGTGTAAGCTTGCAGCTAAGTAGATCAGACAGACATAGAAAGCCCCCAGGTATGGTATGAATGGGAGGGAGGGAGGCATTGGGAGAGAGACGTGTATTTACGCAAACTCTTGGGTTGTAGCAAAAGAAGAAGCGAGGGCTATGGGGTGACCCGGGTTTCATTGCCTCCGTGCTTGGTGAGTCGTGGTGATTGGACTCTAGCGAAGAAGGATCGATCCATAGCCAGGGCAAGGGCAAGGGCAAGAGCAAGAGGAGCGAGCGTACGTGCATGAGGTCCGAGGCTCGCGCTGTACCCAAAGTGCGCACGTGAACGATCGTACCATTCTTCATCTCCCACATCTTGGGAGTGCTCATTTTCTCCATGGCACCGCTGATGCGGTCTTTTCGATTCTCTTTCGCGGCCTTACATCTCAGTCTGTCGATGGTTTGAAGCAGCTTGATCTCCTGCGCTCATCCCATCCCAACCCCACCAATATGTGTGTCACCACCACCCCAAGCAAGCAATCCCCCACTTTACAGCCGCAGCACACAAGAGCCCTCATTACAACAAGAGACCATTCAGCAAAAGGGGATCGATTCCAAAACTTCATGTTCAGAGCTCAACCTTGAAAAGTAATTCCTTCACGGCCTTTCTCCGTTCCATTCCCGTCACTCCAGTGGCTGTTATAGCTTTTAGCTCCTACAGGACACCACCACCCATCCGGCACAAAAGTTATCACTGCATGCCATCGTTATCTGAATCGCCATGAAGTACCGAGACTATGGCACCAAGGAAATACTTATTTTCTAGTACTCACAGCTCGTCTAACTTTCATCTGCGCTTGCCATGAACGAATACTTTGGATCACGAATCTCCAGATACTTGGCAAGCACTGGAGTGAAATGAAGATATGATGCTGTCAAATTGCGATGGTGGTATGTAGTCAAGTTTCATGGTCCAATATTCAAAGGTCGATGGAGCTAGGCTCAAATTTCCTCACTCACTCGATCTCTTCCTTGAGTCGATTAGGAATTGGATATTCACCACGGTTGTAACTCGACATGACTTACCGACCGACGCATATTACAGATGCTGACCAAGTTCTCGTTGATTGATGGATTGATTGATTGATGGATTGATGGTCAGCAGGCTCATGGAGAGGGTTATGAGCTCAGTGGGCCAAACCTGTGCACACCAAGTTGCAAGCTCCGTGTACAGAATCTCAAAGTCCTCGCCAGTTCGAGGATTCATGCGCCTTTGGATCTCAAAGCGAAGATGGTCATCTGCTTCGGCTTTCCTTTTCTTTTCTTGCTCGATCCAAAACTGCCAGCCCACAAATTGTTACAGTTCGGCTACTTGCACGGTCTCCGAGACGCCACTCCATCAGTGGAGTGGAGCTCCTATCTTGGCAAGGTAGATTCCAGTTTAAGCTTTTGGTGGTTCTTTCGATTGTCCCTTCACTTCATATCCACAACATTTATCTCTCAGTGCCATGGAGCGGTTCCCATCAAGCCCCAGCGAGCGAAACAGCTCTCGAGGGTGCGAGATATGATGGCTGGATATTGCTGCGAGTGCGAACGAGCTGCTCTTTCTCATTCTGGCAAGCAGTGACTCATAAAGTGACGGGACAAATGTGAAAGACAGTTCAGCAGCAGTTAGAAAAGAAAGACAGACAGACAGAAAGAAGCCCCGTAAAAAAGCCATCGACCATACCCAATCACCATCGATCTTTCTCCGACTCACACACACTCGGTCTCATGTGCAGCTGAATAAATGTGAACGTGCTGGACTTGCGGCATTTTGCCTTTCAGGAACTTTCAGAGACTTTCAGGGAGTTTCAGTCTTGTGAATCTGGGGAGAAACCTCGGGCACATCTTCGAAAGGTCTCGAGCAAACGAATGCAATTTTACCGCTTCATTTCAGAGCAGATGGTAAAAATTAGGGTTCAAACCACTGCCAGGACGCAATCTAAAGAGCAGAATTCCGAATTTCGGTGGGTGAGTTTCGATCGACAATGAATGGCCGTATGCTGGATTCACCATCATGACCCACTTAGTGCCTGAGTTCCATTAGGAATGTGGTTTAGGGTTTTACTAGAGCAGGTGGCATACCTCCTTGCGCTCGGCAGCAAAAGCGCGCATTCTGGCTGCAGTGCGCTTGGCGATGTCGCGGCGAGTGTACTTTTGGATGATAATGGCAGCGTCGACTTTGACATCGACCCAGTCCTCGGCGCTGAAGTAGGGGCCGGGGATGAGCTCGTAGTCGCCGGAATTGTCCAGAAAGATGCCGGGCCTGTCCATTTGAGTGAACGAGTCCTTGGATCCTTGCTCTTGGATTTTTTTCGTGCGTGCCTTCATGCACGCTCTCGAGATCATGAGCACCGGCTTTTTAGGCGCTTTGGTTGGGTCCGTTTGTTGGGCAGCATTGTGCAGCCTCGTTCCTACATTTGATTTCGTCATGTAATAATTCAATTGTCAACACACTTCTCGTCGTTCTTGATCGACTCTCGATCACTAACTAGCTCAGCTCAGTTTCCCAACGCAGCAATTTCATCTTTCCGCTTTCCCTCACCAAATTTCTTGGCAGCTACCGAAACCGATGGCTCACATCGATTCCCTCGCTGGATTTGAGGGCGAGGGGCCATGGACCTCCGAGGACCGAGGGCCGGAAAGGGAAAAAAACTCAGGAGAAAAGATGTGACGCGAAGAAAGGGACTTGGTCCGGTGAACGACGATTTTCTCGTTAATCCGCGAGAAAATCAAGCGAAGCACGATGATGAAGGTTAACGGTGCGATACGCGGGTGAGCATGGCAGGGCTTCTTGCGTCGCACAGAGGCAGAGGCAGGCAGTAAAAGGGGAGCATATATTTAGGTCTGTGGGTAGCTAGGCTAGCAGTGGATCTATGGGTGTAGCCAGGTAGCTGTCGACGTCTATTGAATGTTCTTGACTTAGATCCTGATGCAGAGGAGTTGATGGCATCACGTAGATCAACAACTTAATGTCTGACGAAACTGGCACACACTCTCGCCCCTCGGGCTGTAGATTTGCTGACCCCCTTTTTCCACCCCACAGCAGCCGCAGCAGCAGCAGCAGCAGTGGAGGAAGAAGAATTAGAATTAGAAGGAGGAGGAGGAGGAGAGAAGTGAAACGATTTACCATTCCGCTTGTCAATGTAGCCTCCCCGCCATGGTAGACGGGCTTTGGCCCGATTCCAATCCACGTAGACGGTGCACGACGAGGGCTCGTCATCGCCATGGTCGATCTTGACCACGAGCCTCGTGCCCTCGGGGGTGCGCGCTTCTTTGGCTTCTTTGGCAGGCGACTTGACGCGCCGCGGCTGGCCCCTGGAATCGAGCATGGCCTCCATTTTCATCCGCACCTCGAACAATCCATCGGTTTGCGATGTGAGCTGCGGGAAGATGGCGTCGCCTTCTCTCGTCTGTACTCCCGACGACACCATGTTCGTGGCCGGTCGCTTCAAAGGCGTGGCAGGACGATGAGGCCCGATGGGGTCGTCGATGGCCACCCCGATGCGGCCATCGTCTCGGAGGTCCAACCGGACGGACACTCTGCCGTGCCCGGCCCTCGATGTCGATCGGCTGGCATGGCCATCGTCGTCCTCGTCCTCGTCGGGGCCTCGGCCTCGGCCTCTTTCTTGCATCGTTCGAGACTCGCTCACGGCGCTCGCGGTGGTCGTTGAACTACTCACTCACTCGCTCGCGCGGAAGTATCTAGTTTGTCGAGCAGAGCAAGCTTTTCTTCGCGCATGCGAGATCGATGCACATGCTAGGGTTCATTCATTCACTCGAGGCCAATCGCCGATCGGCGCCCATGTGCATGGCCGCGCGATCTTTCCTCTGTCACCGGTCGCTCATCCATCAGCATCAGCCGAGCGCATGAGCGACCATTCATCCTGCAAATGGGCTCGATGCATCGAGTGCACACAGGCCGGCCGGCTCATCGGCCGAGGCTCTCGAGACCTACGGACGAACGCATGCCCGACGACGACGAAGAGGCCGCGAGAAAGCCATTAAACTTTTCGAATGTGAAACATGTGAAAGATGTATTACGGAACAGCTTAACGCGATGGCGCTGTGAGATCAAAAGCGGCGCCCGGATCGCTAACCGAACCCGTTATGGAAACAAGCGTCGTCGTTCTTATCGTCGAAAAGCACGAATTGCGGCCATTCTGCGCTTTTCGCACATTCTCCTCCTCTCGTCTCATCGACCGCGACGAGGACGGCGAGCTCCGACGAGGGCACATTAAAGAAGCGGATCACCATCTTCCGCCCGGCCGAGATGTCAGAAATCGAGCGGGCCGAGGACGATGGTAGATTAGAGATTAGATTGATTCCTCGCCGGCGTTAATCTTCCGTCTCCCGAGCCCAGAGAGCCAATTTCTTCCCGTCTCCCCCTGGCCGCGTGATGGTCAACGAGTCCAAGCTTTCCCATCCGGATACGGCTCGAGCCGATTTCCACTGCTCGCCAGTCTGTCCGGACCAAAAGGCAATTTCTTGCAGATTGGACGGGCGGGGCTCGTACAGCTGAACCCGAGCTCGAGCTCGCTCACCGGTGCGATGACGAGAGCTCCCTCGCTCGTTCCAAGGGTTCGGAAAAGCTTGGGCTTGTCTTTATGCCCACGCCCGACGGAACCGCGGGTTTCTTTCGGATCGATGGGCAGCTGGATTTGTTCAAGAAATGTGGTTCATTTCGTTCAAGGAACCGAATCGCCGATGCACCGAAGCATCGACGCGTCCCTCAATCCTTCCATTCGGCTATCGATGGTCTTGGGTCGAAAGAAAGATGGACGGATGCAATGTCCGATCTCTCTTGTTTCTTTGTTCGTTCCTCCTCGAGTCACAATTCCATTTCACTTTTCATTCACTCTCACAATTAGGCCTCTGACATCATGAAGAACGTCGTCGTCGTCGTCGTCGTCGGTCAGAGAGAATTTCCCGAAAGCGCTTGGGGCTGGCTGGTGAAAAGCGAGGGATTACTGCGAGGGATCGATTCAACGAGCAAGCGAGGGAGGGAGGCGTAAAATCAGGCGCCATGAATCCTCCTCGGCCACGGTCAAAGGTGAAGAAGGGGCCGGCGACGGGAGAGCTCGTGTGGTATTTATGACATGCGAACGCACGGACGAGCTTCGACAGCGGAACTCTGTGCACTCGCTCACTCGTCGCCCACTTTCCAGAGTGTGTGTGGGAAGAAGAGCCGCCTTTCCAGCCACCGAGCTGCTCCTTTTCGCCTCGAAAAGCAGGCTCTCGGAGCGCATCGAAAAGCTTCGTTCGATCGTCGACCCAACTCTACGAAAATAGCCCCGACCAGCCAAGCCAAGCTAAGCCCTCCCCCTCCCCCAGCCCCAGCCCCTCGGCTCGTCTCGTCGCCCTGCCCTCGAGCGAGCGAGCGAGCTCTGCAGAGAGGGGGCACTGTTGGGCTAAAGACTCGTTCTGAAGCGCAGCTCAATCTGCGGCAGCGGGTCAGAAAAGCGATCGTCCGGATCGATCGATGCACGAAAGGCGCGACGGAGGAGCTCGAAAGCGAGTGATCGACCGATCGGACGATGGTCCGTCCGTCGGTCTTCGATCGTGCCGTGCTAGGCCCCGATCTAGCCCCACTGTTCGAGACGGGGGGTCGCCATAATGTCGTGTAGTAGTAATCAGCGCGACTCGCAAAAGCGCTCGATCCGATCGGCGAGCTCTGCCTCGTCGCCCCTCGCCCCTCGCTCCACGACACGAGCGCCGATGGCGCTGACCTGCCTGATCCCGCAGTCCTGACCAGCCCCAGCCCCAGTCTCTCTGATCCACCACAGACAGATCTTCTCGTGCCCGTGCTTCGTGTGACAACAGTACGCCCCCGAGCAACCGGAGCTAACCCCCTCGTAGCCCTGGTCTGCTTCACGCCACGCAGCCCCCTCTCCTCCTCCATCGCCCAGGTCCGGCTATGGACCTGGCAGCCGATCATCAGCTCGCAGAACGAAATTGGTCTTTCCGGTTCGGTCGAATTTGGAGCTAGAAGAAGGAAATCGTACTCGCTTCCTCTGAAGATTCGAGTCGATTTGAATTGCGACGAGCTTTCGAGTCAAATTCATTTGGCGAGAATTCGTCAAATGGAGAGCATGTTTATTCTTACGACGATCATCGATCTCAAGGCCATGGGGCTGGACCATCCGTTCGGTCGGTCACTGGTCTCTCTCTCTCTCACTGCTCTGGAATTGCCGTGGCCGAGGCTCGGCAGCTCGTCCGTCCATCTGGTCGAGGACGGCGGGCGAGGGGGAGGGGGCGGGGGGCCGGGCTCTGGCACAGAGTGCCTCGGTCCGCGTCCTTCGAGCGATAGTCTTGCGATCGACGGCCGCACAGAGTGCGCGGTCAGAGGCTAGAGCCAGGGCTCTCGAGTAGGTGGGTGGGGGGGTGGGCTCATCCTCAGGCCAGGGAAGGGAAATGAGATTTCCACCGCGGCTCGAAAGAGAAGCATCGATCCCCGATCACTGCGAGCTGGATGGGACGAAGCGAAAGCCATTCATGTATAGTATAGTACAGCACTGACAAGCCCACCGAATTTACGATTTATCGCAGGCTTCGATTTCTCGAGGCGGCCCAGCCCAGCCCAGTACAGGACTGGACTGGACCGGTAATTCCGCCATCACCAGCTCCTTGCGCTCGATCCAGAAATCCATAACCGAGAGAGTTCTTCATCCGAGCCCGAGCTGGAGCTGGCGGGTCATCATGAACAGAGCGGCCTCGCCATGCGCTGCATCGAGGAGAGCAGAAAAGCCTGAAGCGCAGCGAGGGGCATACGGGAGTCAGAGAAGACGACAGACAGCGGCTCACATCTGTCTCGAGTATTATACGACATTAATACGACAAGATCCGATTGTATGACGACGGACACCTCACCACACCACAGCGCACTCAGATCAGGAGAAAGGAATTAGAAGGTCAGTGTGCAGCAGCAACATTCATAATGCCCTCGCTCCGTCTGCACTCTGCACTCTGCACTCTGCTCTCTGGACTCTGATCCAAAAGCCAGGTCGGAAAGGAGAGACATGTCGACGCCGCTCGCTCGTCGTCCGTATGCCATAAAATACATACAAAGCAGATCCGATTACGATCATTGCACTGAAGAAATCGCACCCCTGCATCGAAGCTTTGCTGCGAGCGAGCGAGCTCCATCCGGTACGGAAGTGCAGTCAGAACGAGGTGCATCTCACGGACTGGAACGGACAGAGGCCATCGCTCGCCATCGCCGTGCGCGGCTGAAAAGTCCATCGACGCGTTTAAGTGCCGCGAGTAACAAACGGGTTGCGTCTCGATGCAGAGAGCCGGTCAGAATGCCCGCGAGCCGACGGGCTGACCTTTCACCTTCGGTCATTATTACTCCACACGCATCGCCAGAGATTTGATCCCTTGTCACCGCCGATCTAGCCGAGCTGCCACCTCCACGACTACTCCGACGACAAACGACGACGAAGCAGCAGAAGCAGCCATAGCCCCCTGAGCCCGAAAGCGCCTGGATGGACAGACAGACAGACAGACGGTAGATTCAAACCCGTCCCCTCCCTCCCTCCCTCTTACCGAAAGAAGCTCCTCCCTCTCCCTAAACTCTCTCCCCCTCCTCCCTCTTCGTCCTCCGAAGCACAAGGCAGAGGAGGGTCAGAAGGAGGCGAGGAGCACTGCGTGCTGGGCCAGCATTATACTTTCAGACAAGCAAATCTCCAGATCCGATCCTCTCTTCTTCTGGAGAAGGGGCCGAGGCCATGCATGCCCTCCACGCTCGCGCTCTCTCTCGCTCTCGAGCACACGCCCTCCCGCTATAACAGAAGAAGGCCAAGAGCCTCGGGGCGCTCTCAATTTGAGGTCAGATGCTTCGACGAGCGCACACAATCCTCCAATCCTCTCTCCAAATCTCGGTCCCGGCACGTGGCTCCCCACCATTGGCCCTCTCTGCCTGCCCCCCCATGAATTACCCCCACTCCCCTCCCGTCTCCATCCGTCCGCCATCGCCGACTTCTTCCGCATCTCTGAGATTCGATGCCGTGCTGCTCCGTGCAGATAACGAGACTGTCTGTCCCCGTTTCCGAACCGGGCTGGATCCGCTTAATTACGATGCTTAAATCTGCGAATTAGACATAAATTCTGGCCGCACTGGATCTCGTGGGTACTTATACTGGGCCTGTACGTACCGTCGTACAGAGGCGACGACGAGAGCACCAGAGATTTGATTGTCTTCGTCGCCGTCGTTGTATACTCTCTCGACGTCGTCGGGTCTAGCACTCGGGGGCTTCTTCTCTCTCTCTCTCTCTCTCTCTCTCTCGGTACAGGACGGCATCATGACTCCGTCCGTCCATCCGTCCGTCTGTCCGTCCACCCAACTCCGGCCGCGGTTGGTGGGCCCGCGGTCCGCTCGTCCGTCACCCGCTGCCTGAGGACCGGGCCGCAATCACCCGCCGACGTCACCCCGGCCCCGCCTCTCGCTCCCGTGTCATTCGGCTGCCTCGACTCCCGCGCCCATTATCATGTCTACGGCCCCCCCCCCCTCTCTCTCTCTCTGCCACGCTACCGAACTTTCCTTTCCTTTCCTCTGCCTTGGCCTTGTCTTATCTTCTGGCTGGCTTCCCGTATTCCGATGTGTATATATATATATCGAGGTATATCTCCTCTGATTAGAGAGAGCCCCGGAAACAGCTCGGATAAGAACATTTGACGCTCGAAACGTGGCTCAGAGTTCTGATTCGGACATATGACTTCGTGTACATGTTCTGATTTGAGTAGATTTTGTGTTTCTAGGATCCTCTGATGGAATTTTGATGGAGACTGCAGCTTCGTCTGTATTTGCATCTGAAGCAGTAAGTATACAGCGGAGAAGATGAGGAGTGAAGAAGACCCATCGAGCTCTGCGTGGATGGATGGATGGATGGAGTCGAAGGGGTGAGATTAAAGGGGCTATAGTCCCAGCAGTAGCACGGAGGACTTTCTCTAGTACAATCATGCCTAGAAGAGGTTGGATGTCCATCGTGAGCTACCTTTACAGTCTTGGATGTAAATTTGCACATTTTCTTCGAAGTAAATAGTAGCATAACGAAGAGGATGGAGGACCCGATGAAGTCTTATATGGATGAAACCAAAAAGTGTTACATGGGGCTTGCTGGGAAGAGCAACCCAAAGGGAAATTTGTCTTTTGTAGTTAAGATACCTGAATCATCCCGTCCAAATTATATTGTCAGATGAATCACCGCCTGATGTGATTGTTCTCTGGTTGGAAATCAATTGCTTACAATCGTCGACGATATAAGTTGAGGGGAGTGAAGCCCAGTCTTACACGCAAAACTAGAATTCTCTGGCTGTACAGCATCATTTCTTGTGTAAAATTCATCTGTTCCTCGTGACTCAATTAAGACCATTACAAACATCCATCTATGGACTCTTTCTCATCCACCATGTTGATGTTACTCTGATATACTTTAAAGCTTTCCATGCCACCACAGACATGGAATACACTCGCAAGCCAATTTCCTTCTCTCAGGGATCTGATCAAAGCCTGTTTCCTCGACACAACATTCACACAACCTCCTCAACGAGGTACTGTAAACTGAGCAGTCAACGTTGAGTTAGAGGTCTAGTAACCATCCCGACGAGCGAGTTCTTCTACCAGCGCTGCTGCCATTAGGTCGTCGTAAGTAAGCAGGAGGAAGAAAATTGGAGAAACACAGAGCTATCCGACAGGCCGAGGAACAATCGTCATCGTCATGGTTAAAACAAAACACACCCGATTTAGAAAGCGCCCGCTAGAGTCCAAGAAGTAACTTTTTGGCTCTGACATGACAGTTGGACGAAGGACGGTGAGAGATGGGGCCTACAGTCAGTCAGTCAGTCGGGCGGGCTGCCCGCCTTCATCCGTCCAAAGTTCCGGGACCCACCGGAGATATAGTAAACAATTTGCCTGGTACAGTGTTGGGCATCATCCATCCATCCATCGCAGTATCCTGTCTCTCTCCACCTCTTCGGCACTGAGGCCCACCTTCGAAATAATTCCACATTCCCATGGCTCATCATCCTTCTATGCGTCTGAGGCCGAGGATTGCCAGTCCGGCGGTGGGACCCATTATATCTTTTTTCTGACTGCGCATGTATGTGATGGTTTTTTCGCGACAGGATATCGACATGTATGTTGTGACAGAGCCATGCATCTTAGTTATGCTTTTGATCTCGATCTGAAAACATGGTAAAATCCTCAAGTTTAGAATCGGATTCAACCTATTGTTGTAAATGGTTCATAGAACACAATTCCAAAACATGTTTTCAGATTCTTGGAGTAGAAATTGACTTTTGTCTCAATAGTAAAAAATCTATCAACTGAAAATTTTTTACTTTAGAAAAATATAGATTAATAAAGTCCGACTTTGATTAACAATTTCAGTACGAACCTTTTGAGGTATTGTGGTTGATTTTAAATTTTGAGTATATTGATATTTTATTTGACATAAAAATTCAAGGATAAAAATTCTAACGATTTATCCTGAATTTGAGAAGATTTTGGAAAAACAAACGATTTAAACAATGAATTTGAAAAAAATTCATTGTTTAAATCATATGACTTTCTAGAACTTTCTAACAAAGAAATTCTGATTTTTGAGGGTAAATTATTAGCCTCAAAAGATGACAATCAAATTTATCAATATTTTAAATTGGAATATTGAAAGTAGATTTTTGAGATTTAATTTTATACTCATCAGTATATAAGATTATGTCATACTTTTTATAATCAAAACTGGAAATTCTGAGTGTTGAATTACAACTATGATATATATATATATATATATATACATATACATATATATATATGGCGTCCAACATATTTCCACTCGATGCATAATTCGTAAGGATGCCACTACATGAAACATTTCCTTTCATTCCCAGCTTGGATATTCTATCTGAAAACAAGGCAACTAGAAGTACTTCCATCTGGACATGATGTCCATAACCTGCAAGCTAATTATACAGCACCTTAATAAATAAATAAATTTCATAAACTGTGCTGTTTCAGTTCACTTTTCAACTTCTTTTCCTTACAACTTTCGTCCTCATATGTCATTATTTATTATGGAAATTGTTTTGTATTCTCATTTCTTCAAATTCCTTTCTCATACAGAATCCTAGTCCACTGCGGTAGCCCTCCAAGGCTGAATTCGACCTAACACCATGGTAACTCGTCTCTTGTTGGTAAAACATACAGCTAAGTTGAATTTATTTCAAGAACCCACTTATTTACAAAAGCAAACCGTTCGTGGATACAGATTAAACTTGACCAAAAAAACGAAGAACTTTTGTACAAACTTGTCGATATTCTGCGCGCAAGCATATGATATCTTTATACTAATCCACATGTCCCTGGAATGCAAGCTTCACTTGCAGCAAAGCTTGAATTGCTCAAATTAGGATTTCATGTAAGGAAGTTTCTCCAGTCAAAACTATTATACTGAAGTGTGCGATGATACCATAACACAGACGGTTCACAAGTATCTACATATTCCAAGTGTATATAAAGAACTCACCGACCTAGGGTCGAAACCTCCACTTGAACTCAACTCAGAAAGTGATCATGGGAACTGTCGAAGCCTACAATTTAACTTGTACTGACGTTAAGACAATAATCGCAACGCAGGCTAAAGTGATTATTCCTCTGTTTGACAGCTGAGTCCCGATATCCGAAAATCTGATGGTCATGAAGATAAAACGCTCCATCGTTATACGGAGTGCCAGATGTGGTATTCACAGTTGCTAAGAGAAGTATAGTCCACTATTTCCATTGGTACTATACTTCAGTATCACTCTGATGTGCTCTATATTTGAGACACCTAATCTTTGAATACTATTAGTCAAAGTTGCGAAGTAGATGGCCCTGATTGACAAGTTGTAATGACCAGGTATTTGTAGGGGAAAGTGCCCTGACGCAATCTCGAAATAAAGCTCCGAGCTGAACTAAAATGCCAAGGTGTTAGAAAATTCGTACATAAAGCCCCGAAAACACACCTGATCATCATGATTAAGTTGGAAAGTAACTGTCTTCAGGATAATCAAAATTGACATCTTGCAATTCCAATATTCCGAGCAGGCAACAACTATGGTCAGAATATCAGTTCAGCTTACCAAGCATCAGACAAGAGTAATTAATATGCAAAAGCAGATTGAGAGTCATACTAGTAGTAAAGTCGATCGCTTCAGATTCTCAATTTTAAGGTGGCAGCGCTCCCGAGCCTACGTCATCCTCTACGTCCCGGTCACAGAGCAGCGGTGTAGTTTGTGAAGGTACGGCTGAGAACCTCATAAGAGACAATAAACACCATCGTGTTGATACCCCATATTAACAACTAATATCTCAATGTAAGACTCATATTCTGCTCACAGTTACAATTCATGTACAATAGCTCATGCCATTCTGCTCGTCAAAAGAAAAAAATCAGAAAGCAAATACATGAAACCATCGTACAGAAAAATGGAGAGGTTTTCTATGATTGCAGCATCTGATGGCAGGAGTTGGGAGCTTAAATCAACGTATATCATCAACACAAAGAGAGTTGGAGAAATTCATTGCGTTTTTTATGTCAACTTCTTTCCATGAATAAAATATACGGTAAAATTTGTCAAAATGTAAACGAATTGGAGGACTCAGATAATGTGCATGTAATCGTGGACTACAGGCTAACAAACTTGAGTAGCTTGTAGGAGATATATTCAGTTACTGTAATCTCCAAGGAAAAGAAAGGAAAAATAGAAGGCGTCAAACTGAGACTAAATGGATAGAAAACTGAAGAAATAATTGGAAGAAAACACATGTCAAGAGAACTGAATTGAGCTAAGTAACAAATTCCGGGTTTCAACCATTCGACGGTGAGCCGCGTAGAGCAGTTCAAGGCGAAAGGCACTTACAGTGATCGATCTTGAACCCTATCCACAACAATGGGTTTGGTGCATAACAGTTACTAACGACAAGAATCCCATACAAAACACCAAAGTATTATTGAAGACAACAAGGTTCTTAAGTTTTCTGGTCTCGCATTAAGTGCAACCATGGACGAAGTAGAGGCCAATACGACATTCACAGTAAATTTGTAGCTTCCAAGAGCAAGCTACCTACAAGCAATTCAGACCACATTCGCCAAAATAAGGTAGAGCGTAACTGCACGAGAAAGAAATGCAGATTGTTTATCTACAATGAACATTTGATATACACGTGATCAACCGCACGGGCTCATCACACAAGGAGACCGAAGAGAACAGACCGGTTTCTATGTTCATCTGCTATGGATATACATACGTAGATGACGATTGACCCAAATCGAACACAGGTAATCTGTAATTTAAGAACAATTCCCTACTTACATATTTATGCCATCTGATGGGTCAACTATCTTGTTTGGGACTTCGTAGCGATAATATTTCCTCCATATCAAAGTGTTCGCCCTGGAGGAATGCTCCGAACGATACTCTGATCACTCAATCCAAAGAAAGCCGAGTGTTGAGCCACCGATGTCAATTCAAGCTGCTTTCTTACCTTTCTCTGCTTTCCATATCGCTATGTTTTCTTCAGTTTTCTTCTCAACAGCTTGGCGGAATCCTGGATAAGGTTCATAGCCAAAAAATGACTGCAAAAACTGCAAACGAACCCAGAAAAAGAATCAGAGATACAGGAATTTGCTCTCGTATTTGTTTTATAACGAATACAAGAGCGAAAGTGCAGACACTGCTTACGCACAGATTAAAAATTTGCGCACACCAAAGTCTCGCTCATATAATGTAATGTCTGTGGACCGCAACAAATGTTGGCCAATTATACAAGTTTTGCCTTTGTTAACTATCTCCTTTCTGATGAAAACTTACAAAGAAGATTTATTTAGAAATCCAAACACGTAAAGAGATGTGCTTTCAGTAATTCATGCAGATTTTTCATAGACGCTACTCACATCTTGAAAGAGTCTCTTACCTCGAGCAAAACAAAAAATGGAGCCATTAAAAACGCTTGGGGAAGATTATCTAGCAAAGCAGGCGCTCGACCCTGGTATTGAGCCCACAATTGTCAAAAGTTTGAAAGTGCAAGCACCTTTGAATTTGATCCATTGGCAGCGATGAAACATGACAAGCGATCTATGGTAAACAGTTCATGCAACGAAAGCATACCTCAAAAACAGCATGCCCTAAAATCTGGAATGTCCAACAAGTCACCTGTGACAGCAGCACCACCTGCATAGACCCACTAAGTAAGCATAGACCCACTCTGCCGAACGCGACACGTTCGTATTTGAATTTCAGAAACTTTGCCATGCTCAGACGTTTGAAATGCCCTAATTTGCGAAGTTCTCAGCAACATATATATACTTGCCGCTCATATGGGTACCTTAGGGACATTGATTTACAACGATGGAAGGAGGTTGAGATCGCAGAAAGAGCTACATTGGACACGGAAGGTGTGAAGTCATAACATATTTCATCACTACATAAGGTGGCTGAAGGATGTCAATCGCTTGATGGCAAAAACATTCATCTGCCATAGACTACACCAGGAGGATAAAGATCGCTCTGCGCGGATATGGTAATCCTGAGACAAACCCTTCTCATATTCAACATTTTTTAAGCCAGATCCAACCAGAAAGAAATATACCGGGAGAGCCCACTTATTGTTTACAAAGTGATTCATCAGAACAGGGGTTATCCATTTTCCACCAGGACGAAAAAACAACACCACTACAACAAATCATAGAAACTGTGCAATACAGCAAATTTGCGCGCTTCAATTGTCATAATATCTCCGTCCGCCTTGCGAACCTCACCAAGTTCATGGAAGTGACGTCTAGGTCGTTCAAGCAGGGCACAAAATGGGCAAGCCGGTAAGAAAGGTAACGCCAAACAACGAGTACGATTAACGTTCGCATGAATAGACCAGAACTTGCCTTCCATGCTGTGGACCAGGGCAACGACTCGGCGATGGCTTGAGAACCAATCCAACAACCAAGACAGATGGCGGCCCCTAAAGAACCAGCTTTCTTGTCCAAGGCCGCGTAGTACAGGGCATATATGCCAGCAATAACGAAATTCACATTCAAAATCATGTACTGCTGGAACGGGAGCGTGCCTGCGGGAAGAGGCAGCGGAATAATAGCTGGAGTGTAAGCCCAGAGGATCCCACTGGTGAAAAAAATCGGCCAAACGAAAAACATGTGGACCAAAACGTTCAATTTGTTGCTATGATAGGCTCCATAAAAAGCAAACTGCTTCTCCAAATTCAAAAGATCCGCCATGTTTCCGATCAACAACTCCTCCTCCCGCTCGCCTGCTCGTGCCCTTGCGACCGCTTTTTCTTCTTCCCCACAATCACCGCGTCCCGCAGTCTCGCCTCCTTCGACGTCCCTCGATCCGTTCACAGCCCAAGCTCTGAATTGGCCGTCTACACCGACAATCGGCCTGCCCCTGCCCCTGCCCCTGTGCACGACCGAACTTCTCCACAATCCCAATCGAGCCCGGACGCTGCTGCTGGCTCCGAATTCTGCTCTCTCGGCCCTCGTCAGACAAGAAATCCGTCGCCCCGCGCGGACCAGCGTCGGGGCCGCGGGGGCGCAGGTCAACGTGTGGGGAGCACCCATCCGCGTCCCGATTTCCTTTCCTTTCAGACAGCACTTTCAAACAGCACGATCGCAGTCCCGCCACTCGAGCGAGCGGGCGACCACCACCACCACGACGCGTTGGCAACAACAACATCGTCGCTTCTCTTCTTTCGCGACGGCCTTCAATGCCCTCGCGACTTTCTGGGTCGCGGTTGGTCCGACTCCGATCTTCCGTTATCTTGAAGGCACCATGTCGTCATCCAACCGCAGCGCCAAGTGTACCACAGAATATTCCCTCAATCTCCCCGCCCCTCGGTGTATGCAGGAGGAGCGACAAAGTAATTGCCAGGGCGGGACATTTTATTTATGAACTTATGATTTTATCCTCTTTAATTTAATTTAGTTGATTAATTACTTTTAATTCTATAGAATTCTTCCATTTTCCATGTGTAGTTGTATTCTGAAGTCCCTTCCCGACCCTTTCATTCCATAGTAAAGGAGAGCCATGTGTGTTTGTATGCGTGCGAATCATAGAGCGATGCAGCTCACAAGGCTGGGAGAAAAGAAACCTCGAATAAATATGACTAAGTGAACTGGACAAGTGACAAATGCATATAAATTCAGTGCTGGTGACCAAAGCACGAGTGGAATATGAGTGACATTGGAAATTTCATTTATTTATATACACTGTGTACCCCAAGAAACTCAAAGAACTCCTTGAGTTTAAAATTTTATCTCAAGAAAACTACCCTTTAAACTATAAAGGGTGGTTTCTGGACGAGATTTAAGTTGGCCGGTGGAGAATTCATCACTGCCACACTTTTCCAGTGTCGCAAAGAGATTTTTTGTTAGGTTTTTCAATAGTGATCTGAGGAACTTTGCATAACATAGATATTTTACTAAATTTTACATAGGGGCTACACAGCGTTTTACCTTTCGTTTTCTTTCTTGTCTTCTTTATATCCGCTTGGCCCCTTTTTGTGATCTGCATCAAATGCATTCGGCAATGTTGAATTACTTGAATTCAGAGCCAAAAACATCCTCGTGGATTTGAGTTCAGTAAAAAAGGTAAAGGAAGAACACGAACAAAGGTACCAATTACAAGTTGGAAGATAGAGTCTAAGAGTTAACGCTTACTTCTTTGGTTGTACGTTGGTTATAATTTACTGTTGTGTTCAGGAGTATCATTGAATGCACTGAAATAGGATTACATCTTGTTGTATATAAAATCAAGCCTTTGTTTGATACTAAAGACTAAAGACGTCATAGGTTAGTTGGAACACGACGATTGTAGCTCAGGAATACTTATCTCAATGTGTAGACACAGAGAAAGAGTTGGACATGTGGACCTTAAATGTGATCTTGCATTACCTTGAAATTTTAAAAGATGAGCCATGTCTGTAAGTGAACTAACTGATTGTTCCATCTCTAGTTTCAAATTAAACCATATAATTAAAATTATCGAAGAAATGGATTAATTTTCTAGTAATATTTTATGGAAAGCTGATGCTATGCTTTTTGACAAATGTGAAATTAACCATTTTCACGTTCATCTTTTTTTTTTTTAAATTGAAATTTTAATTCTTTGTCATATATTGGAAAATTGATTTGAATAAATGCGACTTACAAAATTTAATGAAAATTTTATACCATTTAATTTATTTAAAATAAATTTAAGGTTTTCTACATAATTTTATAAATAAAAATGCGCAGCATTTACACAATTTTTTTCTCAAAAAGTGTCTATTGTTTAGAAGAGCATATTAAGTTTAAGATTATGACTTTTTTTTGAAAATACAGTACTGATGATTCTAAGGTGAACCTCAAAGTTAAATAAAACCCACTCCATCCAAAAGAAAATTCGGATAAACAAATAGTGCTTTACTTTCAACATTGAAGTATATTCTATATGTCAATTTTGACCAGAATTATTTATTTTTAATAGAAAACTGACTTATGCTTTAGAACGAATTTGGTGCAATGTCCAAGTTCAAGAAACTCAACAACTTACATTCATTGATTAAATCAAACATATATATAAATATTACAGGATAAAAATTTGTTTTCAAATCAATGATCAAAGTGAAGAGATACAGAGTTTAAATTTTTGATTGTACATTTAAACACAACGGTTAAAAGATTGTTTGCGATCCAAAGTACACAAATTTATATATTTCCAAGCAGAATTTTCAGAAGAAACATACACTTTTAACTTCAATTTTATGAAATTAAAAGTGTATGATTCGCCTCTTCTGAAAGTGTAATGTGATATAGCAAAACACCTTTATAATATTTTTTGCTTTTTTAAAAGTTTTCAGAGATTCAATGTCTCAGTATAGTATGGTAATTATATTTAAATTCAAGACATATAATAAGGTACTAAGCCAAGAATAATAACGGGCGATGTTTAATGGTTGCATCCAATCGATTATCTAATCTATAGCCTCAGTGATAAGTTTAATACTTGTCATCAAATTCCTTGATGTAAACCAAATTTCATGATTTTCAATTTACATTGTATTTCATCTAAACAGTTAGATCCAAGTGTTATGATTTAGAAAGTAAGAGGAGGTATATAAAAAAGTATTGAATATACTTTAAAAGACATATAAAAATTATCTTCAAGATGGCTCATCACAAAATGTACTCAAACAAATCAACATTTCTATAATTCATCTTGCTTACATATAATTAACTTTCTCAACAAACTTACATTCCGAACGATTTTGGATTTTTTCATTCCATTACCACTTTTAATAACTATACGATTGTCATGAATGGTATAAAGTTTCATATTTAATCGGAAGAACACTTTTACTATATGATAGTTAAAAACTTAACAATTTATGTTTAATTACCATTGTTATCCCTTCAGGTTCAAAACATGTCTAATTAAATCCAAAATTGATGTTTAAAAAAAAAAAGTGCACCGCCTTCCTAGTTAACCAGAGTAGCTTTCCTTCATACATTTCTCTTGATTCACTTCTCACACTGAAATTATACAATAGTTTGGACAGTTTTTTTAGTATGAATGTAATTTTTTTTCATATCTCACCGAGTGTAAGGCCATACCACCTCCAAAATCTTAAATGTCATCACCTTCGCACTTCTAATGTTTGCATCCATACTTGCAACTTGATAAAGTCGATCAGATGCCTAATATATTGATCTTTGAGGTCAAAGTTATTCATGCACTAAATCACGACAGAAATATTTAGAACCATTTTAGCGAGTACACTTTAACGGTTAAAGTTAAAGAGTTTAACCCCCACTTCAAGATGGCCCTATACCTTAATCAACTAGGAAAGAGCATTAAAGTATTGAATACGATTATAAAAGCCACTATGTCGGTGTCTAACATGAACGAAACTCAATTTCTACAGGATAATTTCATCTCAAATATATCCCAATGTACTGACCTATGGAGGAAATAGGAAAAAGCGGAAACACAAAAAAATGAAGAATGCGCAGTCAGTCCGCTCTCATTCAGTTCAGTGACGATTCATCCCACTCACGTGGAAAGTTCTCTTTTCAAAAACAGTCGTCTCATTTCAAGTGTCGGTAGTCATCATCATATCCTGATCAAACATTAGACAAACTCCAATACGACTTTTCAAGCCTTCCTATGTGTAAGAATGCCCAGGACATTCGCGAACTGAATCGATTATAAACTTGTGCACCTGCTTTTCTCGAAGCCCTCAGATTCCAGAGTCAACACTAGCTACTTACAAGATACTCAACTACTTTCAGACGTTCTTTCACACGAAACATGGAACATGAAAGAGAAGGGCTTGTGCATGTTAGTTGAACCCTGTACATGATTCACACTCTTCCACTATCAGTCAATAAAAGCCGGAGAGAAGCAGGTGCACTCTTTTCGAACATTCCAATGTCAATAGAGTAGATCAAATTTCCATGTCGGTGAGCTCCCGCTTTCGAATAATACCTTCTGTCCACAACAATGAAATTTCAACAGTAAAGAGAAGGCGCAGGCAATGTCATTAAATTTCTTTGGATAATAACTGTATATTGTTCTAATAATAAAAACCTTTAGTATCCTGAAAAATGAACTTGGCATGAAGAACCAAACTTGCAAAAGAACTAAACGAAGGTGTAAATGACAAAATGAAACTGATTCACAATAACACCAATAACATGCGTGATATCTGCAAAGCGGGAAAAGAACTCCACCATCACTTCAGCTGATACTCAGAACCACACGGAATTAAACACGCCATTTTAAAGCATCAAGAATTTCTGCACACCGTAACAGATTCTAGAATTATATAACAAGTAGCAAAAACTGATGATCCTGTTCAAGGAAGCTGTAGCCGACTCGGAAGAATTGCAGCGCAAGTTAGGAAGCAGCGCAAGTTAGGAAGTATTCTTAAACATCTATGCTGGACGTGTCCTGACGCAGTTGATATGATCGCATGCATGAGAAGCAGAAGACAGAAAACTGGTGATGGCGAGTTTACAATGAGAGCGGTCGTGCTTCCTGAAAAGTTACACTATTCAACTAAGAAGATGTGGTCTCGAAGCACCAGATCTTGAGATCAAGTTCCAAGTTCCCCCATATTGTAAGCATGAAAAGACTGAACGACTCGCACGTGTTCTTGATTAGAGAACCAACTATCAGTTCAATTAAAGATTATCCGAATCAACCAACGGCATAAGAACGCAGGATTGACATACAAACACTAAAGATCGATTGTGGCAAAATCCGTGGAGGGAACTGTAAGTTTACATCGGTCAACTAGAGATAGGTTTTCTCTAAACCAATTCTCGATGTCTAAGTCCAAACACTCCTCACCCCTAACAAGGTATCAAAACACAGAAACACAGGAGATCAAGAGCGTGGAAGTGGAGCAAGTCTGTGTGCACATATGAACGTGTTATATACGAACTGAACCAAACATGCAGATTGAACACCGACGACAAAGCTCAAAAAGCACATGTCAAGATAAGCATATACTCTGGTCTACCATGTTCACCTGCTGATTGACAACCCCAAACCCGACAGCTTCAAAGCTACCATGAGAATATTCCTGGCAGGAACGTACATTTTATTTTTTTACAACTGAGAGGATACGAAAGTTCACGTCTAATGAAGACATCGTCGAGAATCTTCAACTGGACAGGAAAGAAACATCTAAAGAGCTCAAGGAAACTTGAACACGATATGAACAATGGATTTAACATACAACCGGGTAGCAACACTAGTTCAGGATACAAAATTAAACATGTATGCCAACACACCTAGCAACTGGTTTCTATTCAGTTGCGCCGCCTCTTATCACTTTCTCTTTCCAAAGCATCGATAACTTTCTTGAATCCTCCTACAAAGTCGTCAACAATGGTTCCAAGCTCGCCCATTGTCTCCCTGCAAGTAGCAAAATCCTGTTAGGAAACCGAAGTACTAGAGAGGTGTAAAGTGGAGTCATAGGAGTGAAGCTACTTTCTAACAGAGCTCCCACTCTAGATCTCGGAACATCTTCCTGATCCCATAGTTCTATCGTTAAAGGCCATGCGTTGTCAGAGTATTAGATAATGATACTCGTTCATCTAGTGGTGAAACCAATCGAAGAGAATATGAAGATAAGATAACCTTACCCACTACTTCTCTTTTTACGTGGTGTAAGCTTCCCGATGTTGCTATACTGTCCATTCTCATCATAGGCTCGCCCCTTCCCTAAACCATAGCCAAATCCAACTCCCAAACCACAGCCTGCACCAATACCAGCCCCAAACTGCAGGCCTGGAAATCCCAGTCCTATACCTGCACCTGCAACCCAGAGAATTCTCACTCTCCAATACTTTCGAAACTGCAGATGGTGAATTAGTGGAATAGACAACACATGTATATTCATGAACATGCCGCGCTCAGAAGCTTGTGCGCGCAGGCAATCATCCAAATATGAAGTAACTACTCAGTTCCAGAGACACTTACGTCTTTACTCTACGTGACTGTATTGTATATATGTCTGCTTTCGGAAAATCACCGACCTTCCAGCCTAACAATTTCATGTCTAATGCTCGTGTATGAGGTCAACAAGAATGAGAAGTGCTGATAGTCGGGGGTGTACATTCTTCACAAGATCCACTCCAAAGAGCAAAATTTAAAACTTGAACTGGAACCACCGTAAAATCAGTGTGGAAATTCGTAGGTCAACTCAAGGAACAAGCTGACACATCGTTGATAAAAATCAGGAATGTATCACTACCCGTGCATCTACATAAATTGTACATGAAGTGATTGAAAAATTTACTGAAAACCGTCATAGAATGATACTGAATGTACTCAAGTGATGGCACGATTAGAATGAGCGGCACGAGCACAGAGTAGGGAATGCACCAAACGATTGACCTGCCCATCGACACAGCAAGGAGTGACACTGGATACCCTATGCCTCACGAGCGAATCCTCGAGTTCCACTTGTTGCGACGGAAGATGGTTAAAGCATCCCGGGAGTCTAGAACTCCGCAATCATTGAGGCGATTAGTACTCAACGTGGTTCACTGCCTCCCCAATTGAAAAATAAGAGCACGTGCTACAATGCCATAACTCTGGAAATCAATCCGCATCTCATTATGTAAAGGCCTGGAAACGCACATAATCGCTCACGATCATCAACACAGACGACCACCACGAGAATTGCCATCGAGATTACTCCCGCAGACTTTTGAAAAGCAGAGAATTACCTCCCACAATCCCAGCACCTAGACCGAATCCACAGCCGATGCCGTAACCAAAAGCAGGGCCCAATTTTCCCCACTCGCTCGACTCTATTAAAGGTAGCCTCCACAAAAATCCCTTCTGTGAGCCATCGTCCCTCATTTTCCACAGTCAGCGCCCGGCTCGTCGTCCTGCCTTGGATACAAAACTCTCGCTGCCAGTGCCACAATTTCCGATCCTGCAGGGCCTGCACAATTCCGGCCACTTGGAGTCACTCTCGATAGCGCGACGCTATCGCGTTATCAGAAGCGGACGCGTACCCTTCGCTCCAACTGATTCGGCGGAACTCGACGGACGACACATGCCAAACAGACTGCAGGCTAGAACAACCCCGACCGTATGACTGTGGGTTGACGGCAGATGGTCACCGTCGTGACGGTCTCTCCTTAGTCACCGTCTTGTATTCAAATTCGACACATGGACACTCGATATGAGACACGTGTCGGCGCGATGGAAAGCGACGCGAGCCCGGCCCGGCTTGAGTTGTAGATGTCCGACTGACTATGTCTCCACCGCAATGGCTCACCTGCTCGAGAACCCGTGACGACCAGATTATCTTGCTGGATGATGACAAAATCTCCGCTTAAAAGACCAAGAAACCTCAAGGCTGAAGAGTTGATTTGTGCCTGCAATGCAAACGCGAGTATATGCGTTTCTGGGTCGAAAAGTTGAGAGCAATTTTTTTTTGTTCTCTCACCTGTGTCTGCTGCCAGTCATTAGTCATTCGATAACTCATTTTTGTTAATGGGATGTTCGGTAGAAGACATCTCATTTTGTGGAGTCGGAAAGTAATCCTAACTTACAGACTGGAAACATTCCATGTAAGCACGCACTATAAGCTTATACAAATTTGTCAGATTTAATGATAAATCACCTTGACGAATTGATCCGATTATTAAATTATTATTAAATTCTCGATTCGTGGATGAAGGATGGAACCTTGCAATGGTCTTTGATCTTTATTAAGTTGGTATCACATATTTCGAACAGAAAAATGATATTTGATCCGTATTCAATACTCTTCTTCTCGAACCTTCTTGCACACTCGCTGTCATGCGTCTCCAGCTGATTCCTCTGGGACTAATGCGAGCTCAATACAGGAGTGAATGAGCCAACCGGCGGATCCGCCATCAGACGCCCGCCAGCCTGCCCTGAATGCGATTCCGCAAGGTTTCAATGAAAGACAACTAGTTCGTCCCCTGCTCGTTGCCTCCCCGTGCACCAACAACCTACGGCCTGAACTACAGCATCACTCTTGAAGCTCAGTGCAAATACTACGAAGACAGCTCTTGCCGTGATTCATTTGGCATCTACAAATCGAGACTGGTAGTATAAGCTATTGGTGCTAACTTCAGATCTGGACTAAGAACTAATAAGATTGAAACCTAATAAGACTGTAATACCAAGAATTTTCACGATATGCTTCCAGCTCGACTCTTCGCCTTCACTTACCCCTAGTTCTCAGTGCTTCGCTAATGTTGACCCGGATATTCGTCTACAGGGATGGTTGAAACCATACAAAGCCTTCTGTTTCTTCTTAATAAAACAATATAAAACAGTGCATGTGTCCACTTCTGCCGAATAGTAAATCTTTGCCAGAGTTGCTTTATTCTCCACTTGTGTATATCATACTGTTGACCTCTATATAGTCTTTTCCAGAGTTGCATAATTCTCCACTTGTGTATATCATACTGTTGACCTCTATATAGTCTTTTCCAGAGTTGCTTTATTCTCCACTTGTGTATATCATCTTGTTGACCTCTATGTATATTACGCAATACATTGGTTATCATCAAGAAAATACAATTGTCTATCACATCTGATTACAGGTCAAAACAAAAATCTTCTGTCAGATTCCATCAACTTCATCCTTATGAGACCAAAAGGTTGCCCCCAATATGATTCTTCATTTAAGAATCATCAACTGGCACTTGGCACTAGCTATTTCCCTTGTATTACTTTACCTCACATACAACTCTAAGAAGCATTCCATGTTGACGGAAGAGAACCTCTGGGTTTACGCGGACTGTGCGTTGCAACAAGCAAGACGGTTGAAGGACCCACTCCGATTGTAGCCAGCATAATTATAGTTCCTGAGGTTTTCATTCTTCTACACCTGTTTTAGCGACAAACTCAAGAGGAAGCAACCTTCTCGCATGTATCACCATATCATATGTAAGGGAGACTTAGTATAGTCTTTGCACACCTATAATAACTTAAAGAGGAAATTTGCACATCAGATTCTCTACCTTCATATCCAGTAGATCGCTAGTTTTGGAATCTACATTTTGTGGTTACAAACATATTATCATAAAGTTCGACCTCACTGAATTGTTTCCAAATATCAGACATTTGGAATGAATGATTGGTATATATATCTGATTTTAGTCGATAATAAAATATAACCGGCTTGACTGGCATCAAAAGCCAACCTCGCAGTTAAGTTGAATACACTTAACGCGAAAACGATGGACCACGTCTACAGACATTACTGCACATGAGTTTACATGATCTTCGTTGATATATGAATTTTCTGCATTGATTGCACACGCTTTTTCACCTCGTTCATAATAAAAAAAGTGTCTACATGCTTGACAATAAACCTTTCAAACGATACAACTTGTACATTGCTTGCAAGGATATGAAGACCCATTCGCATATGACTTGATGTGTGAGCTTAATATGACAATTTGTTGGATTCAGTGAACTCAGTGATCTTGAAATGATGATCAGATCAGTTTTCTCTTAGAAAACTCTAGGTGCTCCAGGGGAGAGACTTGAGGAGGAAATTGGGAGTGAGATTTTGAAGGTTGGCTGGATGTGACAAGTTTTCAACTTTGTCCCGCAACAATGCAACTCTACGACGTGATAAATGAGCAAGATAACTCCTAGCACGGACGAAGATTGCTCTAATTTAGTGTTTGACGTCTAAAGACTCTGAAATTGAAACTTTGCATGTGCTCACATGATCCACTGTTGAGCTAGAAGAAGCTAGAAGAACAATCATACCAGCAATAAAGAACCTCGAGTATTCATACAATCTGTACACAGGTATTTCGACATTTTGTTGAGCAAATTACCCAAAAGCTGATCAGTTTGTTCTGAACCCACGATTTATGTAGAAGATTCTACCGAGCTTGAAAGCAAGAATAAAAGCTTACCATATTTTGTCATCCAAGCTGAGTACCCATGTGCCACTAAGTTATCAAGAAATATTCACTTGCTTGAATACATCCTATATTCGAGGAAATTGATTCCATGAATAAAGACTCTGAAATCTCCGCTGTCAGCGTGACGACATCGAGTGTATACTGTAGTCACATTGATGCATTCATCCACACATTCTGTTCGCTTGCACAACAAAGTCAAGATTCCCTCCCACCTTCTAAGACCATTTAAAAATCACACAGAATATGAAATAACGCGCTTGTTCTATTTGCATGTTGTCGTTACATCGACTGCTCATACGATTCAACGACAAGATCTGATAGAAGACGTTTCCCACGCGCTACCACTGTAGGGTCTGTCCTCACATGGATCTTGATGCAGCTAGATTCGCATTCTCCCCGTCCAATTCTACATTCAGGTTTTCACATCTCAAAGTACTTCAGATCTGAAATCTGCCTTTATATTGAGTTCCATGATGTTTTGCGTCCAGATCCCTCCATCTTTGCTACAAACTAGTCTTGTGGTTTATACCATGGGTGCTATCAGCTTGTCCACTCAGTTCGAGAAGTTCGAGAGGCGTTTGATATGGACCGAACTGAGTGGACAAGCTTGAAGTTTCCGATCTCCTGACAGGGACTCTACAGAAAATGAAGCAATAAATCAACTCTGAGACCGACGACTCCTCTCTCTCACCTGATCGAAACTAAGAGATGTTTCTATCGATAATCAGGCAGAAGCAGAACTTCTTTCCGCCATTGTCGCGTTCTTCTCCAAGCTCGGCATTACGTCCAGTGACGTTGGTATTAAAATTTCAAATCGCAAGGTGAGTTGGTCCTGACATCATTTATATCATCACCATAGCCTGCAGTTATTCAATCCTACTATTTTTCAGAATTTCTGCTCGAAATCACAGGTTATTCTATCTGCCTAGCACGTCTTTTCGACCTTCGATGGACCACAAGCTCTACGTTTCATGATAATCCCAAACATGTGCTGGCAGGTGCTACAAGAGGTCCTTGGACGCAGTGTGATCCCAGGGAGGTTTATTTTCGGCTGTATGTGTTATTGTCGACAAGGTATGTGCTCGATCAATGATTTGAAGGCTAAAAAGTCCGTTATCTGTCCATGAACACCGCCGGGACAAGCTTAGATGTTCACTCATGTTAATCCTGCCTGTATCTTTCTCTTGGTTAGATTGAGAAGATACCAAGAGCAGAGGTAGAGAAAGAGTTAACAGCGTTGGGGCTTCCCGTGGAAGCTGTGGATACAATTCTACGGGCTCTCACGTTACGTTCAATTGATGATCTTGAAGGTGCGTTAGTTTTTCGCGATGTCCAATTGAAACTGATTCACGTCTTTTCAGTTTCAAGGAAATTCGGGTGTTCATAGTTTTATTCTCCCTATTTCTATTCTCATGTGGAAACTGAATGACTTGAAACGATTTTCTCGTAAACTGGAGGACCGTAACAGTATATTAGTCAGAGCACTGCTTTATTTCTGATGATAAGATTTTCACTGCTGGTGCAGAACTTTTAGGGTCAGACAACGAAGCAGTCGTAGACTTGAAGCAACTTTTTGAATTGGCTCGAGGATATGGTTTTGAAGACTGGCTGCAGTTTGATGCTTCTGTGGTCCGAGGTCTCTCGCATATTACACAGGAACAGTCTTTGAGGTCAAAGCTGAATCCACTTGTCTTTCACTTTAGAGCAGGAGTTTGTGCCTTATGACTAGGATATGAGCTGCTCATTATCTATGTATTTACTCTCGACTCAAGTTCTGGTACTCCAGGATGTGGTATTTACCATGATCAATTCTGTTCGAATTTTCAGGCCTTTGACAGGACAGGGACTCTACGTGCAATTTGTGGAGGGGGCAGAGATGACAAGCGTCTGTCTACATTTGGGGGAGTAGACACTCCTGCCTGTGGATATGGCTTTGGGGACGCAGTTATTGTCGAGGTGAGAACATAGAACGCAGTTATTGTCGAGAGACGTGAAGTTACTTCGTACATTCTCTACGAATTCTTTTGGAACCAGAATCCAGGTTCTCACCCTTCAATTTCATTCACATCTTGCAGTAACCTCCATTCAGTTCGGACAGCTCCTTCTTCAACTTTTCACGATCTTCCTGCGTTCCTGGTAATTGCTCATGGTCCGTTTATGAGCAGAGTACTGTGGTTCGCTCCTTTTGCACTGGGCACGCACATGCCTTCAAGTTGTTGTACTGCGACAGATAGTTCAGATTTCTCTGAGTGAACGGGGCTTGCAAATCGAGGAGGGAGACTCTTTAAGCTCGGATTCAGTTTGCCTGCGCATTCTAAGGAGCAATCGGTTATTCCTCTCTGAAAGTGTAGGGCAGAATGGAAGGAGCCGGTTCGTCCTTCCTCAGTCCCGCTGCTGAACTTGCGACACGGGGAATAGACTATGCAGACGAGGAAATGGACTCCGCAGACGAGGAAACAGAGCTTCCCTCCGCTGTCCAAGACCTTATACGGCGTCTGGGAGAGAAAAACTCGGACTACTGGATCCGCGATGAACCCATATTAAGTGGTCCAGAAGTTAAGAAATTCTTCCCACCGCTCTCTACGAACACAGGGTGGCGAAGCCAAGTGCGCCTTCGAGTGCTGGAGGCAATTGGAAGCTCCGCCAGCAGTTCTAAATTCCTATTGGTAGGAAATATTTGTGGCAGTAATATATCGAGATTGACCGCTAGCGAGTGGGAGGTAGTGTTGAGAGGTTTTAGGTCCAGCAGCGTTCTCGAAGAGATGAGGATTTGGGGCCTGGAATGGAGTTCCGAAGCGGATTTGGAGAGCTTGGGTTTACAGCTGGGGATAATTCTGAATACCTCTAGTGTAGCAAAATTGGAAATACATGACCAAATTGAGTCCATGTGGAACAGGACTCAGAGATCAGGATACCTCTATCAGTCAGGATTGACTGAGAGATTTTTCTTGAATCTCGCATCAGGACTGCGAGAAAATTCCCACTCGAAACTCACGTCTTTAGTACTACATGACTCCTGGGGGAACGCGGTGAAGTTTATCATTGAGGTGTTGACCGGTCATCATCAATTAGAAACTTTGATTTTAGACATCACCTGGGGCGGGGACGAGGCGACCGTTCGGCTCTTGTCCCAGGCTTTGAAGCAGAACTCGAGTTTAAAACAATTGGCATTATGGCAAGTGAAGGATGGATGTGCCGCCTTATTGCTGAACGCATTGGCCGGAGATGATGGCAACCGATCGATTGAGCAACTTGAGCTGAAAGGCATGTCTGGAATCGGGAAATGTTTAGCAGAAGTTTTCATTTCCAATCGATCATTGAGGGTTGTGACGTTGGATTGGATCTTCATGGATGTGGAGGAATGGCGCTTGCTAGGCGAAGCCATACGTGACAATGCCACAGCGACAACTGTTTCCGTACAGTTTTCAAATTTCAAATTTACTAGTCATGTAAATTTCTTGGCATCGTATACACATGTAAACTATGTACTAGAAGAGTTTTCGTGGGCTGCTAGCTCTGAAGGGAAGGAACCCGTGTTGCATCTTGAATTGTATGACAGTGAACGTGATTCACTTTCATACGTTTCAAGAACCTCACAGCTGTCAAAGCTCAAGTTTTTAGGTAGCGTACTCCGAGGGGAAATCAAGTCTGTACATTCTCTTAGTCTACCGTTACATGGCATCTATCTATCTCGCGGAATGAGTATAGAAGATATCCTTCCGATCAATAGAATAACTGGAGAAACTTCAAGTCTGAAGAGACTGCAGTTACATGGAATCTATTATGTTATGTGGTTATGGAAGCACCTGGTTCAGTGCTTGCGGTGGAACACAAGTGTCAATAGCTTGTCTCTTTGTTTCAGCCTAAAGAAGAAGGAGTTCAAACACGGAGCATTCAAGGATGGAGGAGAATTGAAGGAGGAGTTCGAGGACGGAGAATTCAAGGATGGAGGAGGATTGGAGGAGGAGTTTGAGGACGGAGAATTCGAGGAGGTATTCAGGGACCTGATGGCTTTACTGCAAGCGAACTTGACTCTCCAGGAAATAGATGTATCCAAGACCCCGTGGGCAAGGGACGGAAAGGCCGCGCTGATTGAAGCGGCCCTCAAGCAGAACCAGGAGCGGGCCGAGTACATGTCAGTATTCACTGAAGCCAAACTACAATTGGGAGATGCAAAAGCTGGTCGACTCTTCTTATGCGGCTCTCCTAGAGCAGGTAAGGTGCTCTTCAATTTTTCCTTTTATTTTCTCAATGTGCGATATAAGATCTTCCTTTTTTACAATTAACATTTCATTTCTTTATACATAAATAAATGTCTGAAAATAAGAACAGAAATAGAAGAAAATAAAATCATACAAAACTCCAAATGATTTCTTTTGATAGTTTTAATTCTTTTGGAATATTAGGAAAAATCTTCAATCCAATTTATTTACACTATATTTTTAGACAATATCATGGCGAACTATCTTTCAAGATAATATAAGCAACACGTGACTTTTATTCAATGTACAGGCAAGACTCAATTGCGTCGAACTCTGATGAAGATAATTCAAGACAAGAGCTGGTTTGGGGAGAGATGTGAAGAATTGTCAAGGACCATTGGCATTGAAGTGGAGTTTTTGCAAAACGATGACAAAATGCAAATCTCAATATGGGATCTTGCTGGACAATCGATTTTTCGTACACTTCAAAATGTTCTCTTCCCTAAAACGAACGAATTCTGTGTTTTTCTTTTTGTGTATAGCCCTTTTTGTGAGGAAAATTCTTTTCCCAAACCAGACATTTGTTTCCAGACTGAGTTGGAAGGCTGGTTGACTTTCATTGCATCCAGCACTAAGGTCATGGGCCATAATCTTCCACAAGTTCTTGTTGTGATTTCACACAAGGATAAGATAGAATCCACCTCTTTGACTTGGGCTAACTCCATAGTGGAAGTACTCAGAAAAAGATTCAAAAACTATGTGGATCTCCGCCCTATTCAAGACTTTCTTTATGTGAATACTCGGGAAAAGAATCAAGTGATTCCTCTCAAAGAGCACATTTTTTTCATCTTTCAAGAGTTGTTGAGTCAAAAATCTCCCCTGGTTCCTCAATTGTGCTTTAAACTCTCTTCCCTTCTGCTTTCAAACATCGAGAAGAACAAAACTTGCTCCCTTTGGTCATTGGAAAAGTTTCATGATTTCTGCTTTATACTCTCTTCCCTTCTGTTTTCAAACATTGAAAACAAAACTTGCCCCCTTTGGTCATTGGAAAAGTTTCATGAGTTCTGTTATCCCAGCTTGAAAGAACTCAATCTACCATCTTCTGTTGATCATTTAAGATTATCAAAATCCCTCCTATCCTACTTAAATGATGTTGGATCCATCATTTATATTCCCAACTTTGATCACATTGTCGTGGATCCGAACTGGCTTACAAATTCAGTTTTGGGCGAGCTGATAGCCATGGGTCAACACTTTAAAGCTCAAGAGTCCAATGCCTATGAGAAAATTATGTCAAGTGACTCATACACAAGCAAGGACGGATTTGTGAGCGAGAGTGTTTTCACTCGATTGATAGAAACGTTTCTGGAAAAGCAACCACGCCTTCAAAACGTTGATAGAGAGGTTATTGAAAAGATTCTTTTCAATTTAGATTTGGGTTTCAAGCTCGAAAATTCTTTTCAATATTTCATTCCCTCCTTCATCATGGAAGAACAGAAGCAGCAAGAAGGCGTGCGCGTGGTGTCGATGTCATGGGAGTCTAAGGCTGCGAATCCAAACTTTGTCGGCATTCGGATTCAATGCAAAGATCAAAAAACAATGTCACTGTCGGCTGCGTTTTTTCCACGTTACCAGGTGAGGTTGAATCATGAATGCATGAACCCTGAGAATATATTGAATTCGTCAACTTATGATTGTAATTTGTGTAAAATGAATTCAAATTTTCTTTTTCAATAATTATTTCAAATGAGTAGAATGTCTCACTCAGTATTTTAACTTTTTTCTATCCTTGTAGATGTTCATGAGACGCAAGTTGATATCCGAGATGTCTGTGCCAATGGAAACTATGACATTCTCCCGATATTATCTGAAACTTTTTCTTGATGGTCACGAGATTTACGTGGAGCATGTTCAGAGTGAAGAGTCCCACTATTACGTAGATGTTCTGATGTTATGCTCAGAGCATAAGTCAAAGGAGACGGCCATCAAATATGTTTTGTACAATATTGTCAAGGAGTTGATATCATTTTGCGCAACACCCAATGGCTGTCCTTCGTGACATTAGTGCTCGGCGTTATCCAAACAATTTGCGTGGAGATGCTGATTCCGATTCATCTCAGAGGAGCCATTCTGATTGAGGAGCTCAAATCAAAGTTCTCTAATAGCATCAATCACAAACTTGAGGATATTGCGTTGGATAGGTCGCAATTGGTGAAGGAGGAAGAGTTGCTCAACTATGAGCATACTTGGTCCCCGATTCGAGGTTTGCATTTGAAAACACCATTCGAACGGGCTAGGAATCTGCTGTGGGAGAGCGATGTGGAAGCGGTTGTGAATGAGATCCGACTTAAGCGCAATCAACAAGTGGAGTCATTGCAGCAAAGCCTCATCAGCTTGAACAATGATTTGGCTCAGACTCATCATGACAGCGAGAGCACGGTTAGCAACTCGAGTATACCTCACATAAAAGACTGCAATCCAGCTTCAGCCAGCTGCTCGAGCCAGGCCAGCACAAGAGTGGACATGCAACTTCTTTTGTCCGAAATCCGCCGTGTGCTTGAGGAAGTGAGATCAGTGAAGAGCATTGTGCAGGGATTAGATGTAAAGATAGGACAGATTATCTCTCTACAACAACAACTACAGTCAACATTGAGTGCATTCATGTCTGAAGTTGACAGGATCATCGGGTATTCAGAATTGCATCAGCAGTCCAAAATGCCCAAGCGACCTTACATCACGGATGATGTTGGCTATTTCTATAAGATGAGTGCACGTTTGCATATGGGAAAAGCCCTTCGATTACGCTTGATGTGTGAGTCCATCACTGGGTTTCACCCAGTCAAAGGTCAAGAAGGATTGAAGCTGCGCGTGGATCTGGAGAATAGCGGGTGGATTGCAAGAACTATTGACATTGCATACAAATCCGTGTATTATGTTGTAAAGTTTGGGGCCTTCTCGTTAGGCAAAACTATTCCGCAGTGGGATGATTTACAAACCGATATTGTCAGGCTAAAGAATATTAGTGATATTGATGGGTGGGCGATTCGTAATGGTGGGCGTAGCATGCAGCTGAACGAAGCATGGTTGAGGATCGAGCAAACTCTTGCGCCTTTGCTAAAAGATAAGTATTCCGAAATCTTCAAGTTGTATCAGGTGAAGTACGTGAGACAACAAAATGGTGGGCATGCATGGGTATGCCAGGAGTGCATGACAAAAGGACTTATTTCTGGAAGTTTGACACGTTGAGATATTCAAGAGGTTAGAATGTCATTATGCAATTGACAAGCATATGTTTAGACCCTCTTGCAATATAAACCTTTGCATGATCTTCCTTACAGTTTTCATTGGTACAGGCTTTTAGTAAGTTACGTAATCATGTCAATCCGCGCAGTTACTCAAGATCTAGATGGTTCCTGATTGTTACTCAACTTGTCTCGATCAATGAGCAGATCAGAGCCAGAAGGACTGTCTGTTGTTGGGACTTCGAGACCCACATCACTGTAACGTGGTATATTTTCATATTGTCATGCTCTCCGTATGTTTATCTCACAATTTCAGCTGAGATTCTTGTGTGCTATCCTTCTGGAAACTCTTCCTCTCTTGCACAGAATTAGACGAAAGATTCTAAAATCGTGGAACTGACGAAGCTCATATGCTCCATAGAGACCCACATGGTGGTGAAGGTCAGTTAAACAACGACTTTCAGAGAGTGAAAGGAAGCTGAGCAAGAATAAATCTGTCACTAAAATTGGAGAAGAGCGCCATGGCTGTTGAAGGAATCTGATATATGTGAAAGAAGTATTCATTTTTTGCCACTTCTGAAATGCCAGTAGTAAACGAGAACATGCACGGGCAGTACCAACTTTTTTGTCTCGACCATTGGTTTCGGCCTTTAACAATGTGAAGAATATTTGAACTTTCTTCCTCTGGAAATACAACCGCACTGAGACTGGTAATTGTTAGCGAATCGTGAATGGAAATGTGAATTGTTTTCATTTTGGATCAAATGCTCTTTTCATTTCACGATGCAAGTCTGGTTTTATCGGTCTGTGAGGATGTAAGATCTGGATTGTTGCTGGTAGATTAGATCAAGTTAGGACCGATGTCTTTTCACGTGTACCTGTACCCCGGGTTTTAACATGATTTTCTGGATCAACATATGGACATGACTGAGCTCACGATTCAGAATCTTGAACGTCGTGATATCTCAATGATGTGATGGATAATGATTTAAAGACTTTTCCTAGAGCGGCCTGAAAACATAGTGACGTGTTGTGAATAGACAACGGAGGGATGTAATTTATCCACAGCCAGCCCCCTTGGTCCATGCATCCTATCGTCAAGAAAAGTTGACGGTATTGTACGCTACTGGGGACTGAGTCTCTTTTAATGGTGTATTTGTGTCTCCCATCATCAGATCATTTCAGAATCCCAAGCGCAAGCCGATTCTGCCAAGACTTAGAAGAAACCATTTACATGGAAGTTGGATCACTTGTCCGCCCTCAAGACAAAAGTGGCATTCCGAACGCTCCATTTCTGGTCGAGTGCTATGCAGCTCTCCCGCTGGTCATCAAATTAACATCTGCCTAGGATCTACTTTGATGATGATCTCATTTAATTAGATCCTGGGCAGATGATAATTTTCACCACCTTCGACATTGGCTTCCGTTCACACTAACATGAGCATAAGATTAGACAGCCACAAAGACATATATAGCCAGGCAATCTGTACGAGGTCATATTATTAATATCATTTATGTAATTCCCATATCAAAGCTGAGCGCTCACTATCGTGTTCCGATTATGTGTATCTATCCGCCAAAGAGGAATCCACCTCTTCGTGGCTCTAACGCTGGTCAAGCTCTGAGACTCGCTCATCATTCCCAATCAAACCTTAGAAGAGGTTTTGGACGAAAGCTACCTTTGCTATCTAAGGTCTTGGATATCGAAGGCATCCATGCTTACGTTGGAAACTAAAAGCACTCATGGTATGTATACAGATCAAACTGACTCTGTGTCGATCCATAGGTCTTTCACCTTTTCATACGTCTCACCTGGTTCCAGGTGTCGAACAAACTGTCACTCCAGTCCTTGAAGCATTCGTCAAGATCAACATTTTCCGCTCACTAATAAAATATTTCCGAAGACATCGGATCCAAGAGGACTTGGGATTCTTGAGAAATAGAATATACAGTCTAATTGTGAGGCAGATAAGCAGTAGTAAGTGGCTAGTGTAAGCGCTGACTTCGAACTTCGATGGCAGCTGAAGAAAATTGTATATATTAATTATTGCCACGAGCATGTTTTTTCGAGGGCAAAAAGTCGGATTTTTGAGACAAGAGTTTTGATATTATTCCCGCCGGGTAAAGCCATAGCGCCCATCTATCACGTCTGTATGTCGGTGACACTTTGAACCTATGATTCCTACTTCTCGATTCATTGACTGTCATGTGCTTTGATCATCATGTACACGTACAAAGTTCAAGTAATATCTACAAGTGCCTGTTTTTGGTCATACTATATTAACACTTGAGCATTTAAGATTTCACGCACAAGCACACAGATTTCTGCTCCACACCCAAATCATATCACGGTGATGATCAGCCATATGCGTGCGCACACTTTCAGCTATATTTCCAGCACGATATTAACTTTGATGTTCTACTATTCACTTCTGCCCCTACTTTAGTTTAATCGCTGGCAATTCATTCTGAACCTTGATCATGAACCTGAATTGGTAGATCAGTTGTTAGTCGGATTGCCAGCTAGTTTATTAATTGGCTTAGATCTAAAGTGGTCGATTTGTGACACATGCCTTCATATTCATATTGATATAAGCATTCAGTTTTAATCTGCATATATGTGTGAATCCGAGGTTCATGCGCTCAAGAGATCCCACTCAATCCTGAGTCCACAGAAACTACTATTGGAGAAATATGTGCGGTACCGTGCTGGAGCATGAAACGGAGATCTGTTGGCTTCTCGTGACTTCATGACCATGACTGTCGAAAACTGCGGCTGCTGTAGAGTGAGATCTCTTCCTAGTTTGGGCAAGTGGACCTCTGATGTGTTCACAGTGTATATTTGATTTGTAGGTGCCCACGTGTGATGAACTGGAAACTTATTCCTTTGCGAAGTCGAGCCTTTCGTCAGGTATCAATGGCCTTCCTCCGAACCGGACGTGCAAGATTTCCTCGCATACGGCTTTCCGAGTGAATCCTCGGGCTCTCGAAGGCCCTTTGGACCGAGCTTTTGACCTGGACTATCAGTGGCCTTCCCTTATTCCCCTTGGAAATCTCCAAATGCCAGCTCTTGTGGTAAACTTCAATCGATGATAATCCTTGCCTTTATTGCAGTCCTTAGAGAGCAGATGATGATAAGAGTAGAATTTTATTGACATGCGATCAAGTGGAGAAGTTTCTCTAGATTGAACTGCTGTGCAGCTAAACTGCCGGATTTTTCCCTCTTGTCTGTGACGAAGTTTCGTCAAGAACCATAGCCACTGTGAGCACTTGTGTACCGGTAATCAATCAAGATCTGAAGATACACATCCAGAACCGATATTGTTCAAGCAAGGCTAGCATGGCCGTTCATCACAGTAGTACATCTGTGCTGACGAAACAGAATCTGGAAAACTACTTAATCCGAAGGGAATGTCGCCATAACTGATTCAGATGATGATTTTTCCAGAACCAGATGCTGTACATGTTCAGCTCTGAAGGATTTTCACATTCTATCCATACTACAACTTGAGTTAAAAACGCGATCAGTATGATGTGAATGCAGATTCACGGCAGTAACTTTATCTGACCAGCTACAGTTTTGAATGGCTGCTAGTAAACATGTTTCACCTTACTTACACAAGGTTCACTTGGTTAAGCTATCAGTTTATTATAAGTCAAATCACTTTAAGTTAATGATAAGAACCATAAAGCACGTACTTCGTGCTCCGAATAGTATGGGCACATATACTTCTGACAGGACATGACGAGCAGTTGCAACATGTTCCAGCATGAGCAGCTGCGAGGTACTAAACTTCCATGTGGCCAATTGGAGACTTAAGATGGACCCAACGGCTCCGACAGATGCCAGATCCAAACAACTGTCGCTATTTCTCTGGTAGATTTACAAACTCTTTCCTAATTGCTCACGTCTGCTGGCCGATCTACACAGGCTAGGGGGAGGGTGCATTTACTCCAAACGTGTACCAGTATTTCGACAAAGATTCGGTCGCGATTCATCAACTCTCCATTTCGCTTTCGGCAACTTGATGCTCGGATTGCCAAATTTGAGCTAATTTTAGTGACTTGAGGTCAGATTTTCTCATGATGCCAAACATGGAAGCTACTTGTACTAATCCGAGCCTTACATGATCCAGTGAAAAATGCAGCTCAGCAGTTGAGTTTAAGTGTTAGCTCTCTCCCCTCCAGTAGATCTGAGCTGGTTGATGAACTGCATCGTCAAATGGAAGACGCGCATTTTGAAAGCTGAAACTGAACTCAAAAACCATCCAGCGACGAGAAAGGAAAACAATCGAAGATGCAATCCATGCGTTCGTCTACCAATCACGTCGTTTTAAGTGGTTGCTTAAAAGAAGCAGTATATTGACAGCTACGTAGTTATGACCAGCTTCCGAGGTACCAGGTTCAGTGTGTCTAGACACGTTAAAAATTATAAATTTCATTCAACATATTATTTGTAATCATATATAATAGTAATTGTTTACTATTATATTATATTAGTAATTATAATAATCAATTGAGATATTGATTATTATTGCATTCAATATAGCAATTGTATATAGTTTAAATTGCTGAAAATAAATAGCTTGAGTTCAAATATAGCTAAATAAATTATTGTTATATTGAATGAATGATTATTGTAAAAAACAGGGAAAAAAATTAAAAGTATCACTAGGTAATCCACACTTTCAAAATCAAAACAATTATAATTCATTGTATTTTTCATCCATCCTCAATTTCATTGAATTTTGCATAACACCATGGTCACAACTAGAAATTTTTACTAACTATTTGTAGTAATCTAATTGTTTTAGGTTTTGGGTTCTCCTCACTCTTGGACTTCATATCATAACAAATAAACAAATTTGTAGCTCATACTCAAGAATAACAAAAAAAACATAACAACTCCCTCACTTCTTGCTTGTTTAAAAGAAGTTAAAAAATAATATTGCATATGCATTCTTATATTGATTTTTTGTGTGAGTGAATTTGAACTTTCCTTGTGACCATTGATATCACAACGATGAATTGGTTTGTACTTACTTTGCGATGTTTTAGCTTGTGCGTAATGTCATAATTTTTTTAATTATAATATATTTAATTTTAAACATGAGTTCATGTCAAGCATTTCACTGTTTTACACTGAAATTTTTTAACAAGAAAAATTACTTTTTTTTTGTAAAACATGATATTATATAAATTTGGTTAAACTTTCTATTGTTATAAAAAAAGTTTAAAATATAATTATTTTGAATTTTTTCTTCAAAATAAAATGAAAAAAATTATATGTTAAACTTGATATTTAATCAATGGAATTTTTGTGAAAATTAATATGAAATTTTGTGTCAAATTGTGTTGCATGGTTTTGATATAGAGTGAGATCTTCGAACCATTATAATTAAACAATGGAAAAGCCAAGGATATTTCAGCAGAAATCCAATGATTGCAAGTTCATTTAAAAAGTAAATAAATAAACTTTTTTTAATCAAATTTTTTGCTTATAGAATTGAATTGAAGAATGAATATTTTATTTTTGCTGCTCTATTTTCAAAAATTTTACATAGACTTCAGTCTTCTATCAATATTACATTCTGTCTATCGACAAAGATTTTGATAATTTAATTTAAATTCATTTCTTTTATCCAACATTTTTTGTGCATAGACCTACAATAGTTTTTCTTCAAATCATAAAAATAATGTTTTGAACAAATTTCTTTTAACTAATATTCACATTTTTTATCTAGATTACTTTATGTGTATAATATCAATATATCCTCTAAAATTTCAAGTTTTCTAAATATACGAGTCACATAATATTTTAGAAATTTTGCTGAAATGACAATGATATTTACAAAAGCTGGAATATATTTTATTATAAATAAAATGGTTAACCAAAGGAGTATAGTATCTCTATTGCATCAATTAGATTATGTGAATTAGTTTAATATATCATGATAAAGTCAGACGAATCTCCAAAGATAGAATAAAAAGAACAGACTTAAGATGCTAAGAATTAATTCAATCTGATCTATATAGTCGAAACTTCCAATGAAAATGTTGGTGGTCTGCATGATTGTCACTAAGAAAGATTTAATTGTTCTATTTATGTGCATATGCAGATAAAGTCAAACATAAATTTATTTTTTGCAAAATAATTATATTATAATACATTAGACAAAATTTATCCTAAAAATTACCCTGATCTGCTTAATGCTAAGCACCAATTTGAATCTGATCTATGTACTTGATACTACCAATGAAAACTTTGGTGGTATGTTGAATTCTCAACACGAAAGTTGTAGATGTATGTGTTCTCTCTACGTGCATATGCAGATAAAATCAAACATAATCTTTACTTCTTGCCAAAAAAATATATTCTTAAACATTGGGCGAAATTTATCACGGATTGCCCCTGGCGGTTCCCTTTATGAAAATGAAAATTTGATTAGCACTAAAGAAATGATAAAGACTTTGTTCCATCCATCAGATATCTCATCTCACCTAACATAACAACCTTTTATGAAAGCCCACCTCACATGTAGAAAACTCAGAAATCTGTATCAATACTCCAAAATCTGATACCAATCGAAACTATTAAGTATAATCAAAAATTACTAAGTGAATTACTAAGTGAAATCACTAAAAAGTCTTAATACATAAATATATATCCACGTATAGTAATCTTAACATATTAAGTATATGTGCCACTGAAACCTTAATTATCTATTAGTCCTATGCATTAAGGCAATTATGATATCTCAACCAAACCAGTCTCTCTTATGACCACTTCATCGTTTCCAGTTGCTACTGCAGCTGGGCGTCTACGATAGATAGTCCAGTTTTTTCAGAAGGCAAACAAGAGATCGGGCACACCATGCCCCGCCAGTGTCAATTTCTCCAACACTGTCTGTTCCGATTACGCATCAACGATTCACGGTAGGACAAAGTTTGCGAATCGAACGGGGAGAGATTGCCACGCCGTGACCAAAGCCGTGCAATGTTGGGGTTTGACAGAGGCACACATGTAACCAAGGATTAGTTCCTTGGTTGGAAAATTATGGGGAACTGGCCAGTTGCTTGACGACTCGTTTGTGAAGGTGGCATCTTCACCTGCCCTCACATCAGTCGTGGTCACTACCATCGACGAATCTCTCCATCATTTTCTCGACGATGACTAGGTCGATACGTTAGCAACAAGTTCGCATCATAGTTTTGGCAAGCGGGACATCTTGACGACTGCTGCCGGGGCATAATGGTGTAAGGTCTTTGGATTCATCGATAAAAGAATGAGACACGCAGTTTATGCAGTGGGCTAAACAACCACACCTTTCTGACTGAGTACTTAGTTCAAAACCTCCTCCTTGCCACCCAGAAGTTAAACGACAAAAAAAAAAGACTAGATAAGCATCGGTTGCAATCTAATGGAAGAAAACATCTGGTTGTTTTCACCTCGAGCTGAATCGCGAGGCTCCATATTCATCTGCAAGAACCACAAGGCATCAAAATCCATGCACTTGATGACATGATGGTGGTGAAGAGCAACGCTCACCCGATAGGACTTCATGTACATACAAATAAGACTTATCTGACAGGGTCCTACCTGAATACTGTAAGACAGCAACGTGTCACTCCGTGTGGACAGTCAGGAAGGCAACTCATAAATGGCAGTCATGTTAGTGTGGACAATCCAGTCCAGACGGACATATGTGCACTATAATGAGATCAAGCTTTTCGTCGTGCGGGAACCAATCGACTGTAAGATGACAGGTGCCTGTCAATCGTTGCCTCAATGAGTCGAACCCGCCGCCATAAGAGTGCAAAGTTAAAAGACAGCGATGATCCTCGCCAGTAGTGGAAATTTTTTGACCTGATTACAAGCCTCTAAATACCGAAAATCTCACGGACGTGTTTCTTCATCGTTGGTTTCGATAAAGAGATCAAGTGTTTACCGATGTTGTACATGAACCATGTTCAACCATTCAACTCTTCAAAGGGGGTGAGAATCTTCCGCTAAACTTTGCAGGAAGAAGGTCAAAAAGACCTGTTATCAGGTTCAGAATCCAATAGCAAAAGAGACCCTGAATTCGGGTGATTGAATATCTTCCCTGCTCAATTTCAGGACCTGCTTGTGAACATTGGGAAGCAAAAATAAGCAAACTTCAATTACCCAAAGCTTGGAGGGGTTTATTGCAGCTAGCTCTGTACAGCAACGCACTAAGGTATGATCTGTCGTATTAAAGATCCAGACACAGCTTCGTCTCGCAATGTGGAGTTTGTATGTACTACTCTTTTTCGGAAGTGGGGAAGTAATCTTAGCCTGACTGCTGGCAACGGCCTGTACCATCACACATGTCACACTCCGAAACCTCACCAGCTACTTGACTCAAACAATACTCCATCCTATCGTTGATGACAGTCTGTAGACACAGGCACGTAAGAATTAGAGTGGCAAGAAAACATTCTCCGCGAAGGTACAACCAGGATACATGGTAAGTTTGAAGAACCGAACCAAAGGTGGGAACGAGAACTTGGTTTGGAGATCCGCTTCTCCGTAGCAGGTTGCACATTCCCATGTACTTTTAGACGAATACACTTTGATTGTTCTCACTGTGCACATACTGTACGAAACAATCATCCAGCAAAGGATAAGTAGCTTACCACCATCAGTTCATGCAGGCCGATGGGAGCGGTGACAAGATATGGTACATTATGATGTTTTTTGGCTGCCTCGGCTACGATCGAGGGTATGTCCTGTTCAAGGTCCACGAAAATCAAAATCAGAAAAGGTTTCATGCCTGATTGGAATTCGTTGTGAGTTGAACGTTATCCAGCAGAACTGACGCAGTCAGTTTCTGCTCGACCACACTGAGAATTGAGCTCGTAAAAAAATAAAAGACTTGAATCAAATGGAATATCAAAGCGCATAACAGCGCGTAGACATAACAAACCTGGGGAAATACAACATTAAGTCAAGAAAGTCAAAGCGCTCCCGAACTAGTAGCATTCTTTAGAACTAGCCCATTGAAAGCATAAGTACTCTGACACGAGGTACGGGATCCGGACTCATGAATCACGAATAATCGGCGGGACTGCCAGAGGATGATTGAGATTTTGGTATGAGGCTGTTGGAAGGCATGCAACTTACTATTCTATCAGAAGAAGCTAGTAAGTTTCAACGCAAGGAAGATAGAGAAACAAACAGTACTCTCTGCACAAGGAAGCTATGAAGCTTGTATAAATCGAACAGAGTTGGCACGGACTCATGAATTACTAGTAATCGACGGGAATGCCAGAGGGTGATTTAGATTTAGGTATGAGGCTGTTGGAAGACATGCAACTTACTATTTTCATCAGAAGAAGCTTGTAAAGTTTCAACGTAAAGAAGATAGAGAAACAAACAGTACTCTCTGCACAATGAAGCTATGAAGCTTATATCGAACAGAGTAGGCACGTGCATAAGAAATGAGAACGAACCATCGATACGAAATCTGAAAAATTTTGACACAAGGAAAATACAGATCTTCTGGTTTCCCTTCATGAGAATATACGAGTAAGAAAGGAATGATGATGGAAAGAGGTTGTTGTCATTGTCATTAATTCTCTCCGCTTCGCTTTCGTAGTCTCGAGCAAGTGAAACAGATCAGTGGGGAGGCTTACCTTATCCCAATGCCGACCTGGAAACAGGAAGTACGGGCTAATTATGATACGTGTGGCCCCTTGCTCCACGCACCGATCAAATGCATCTGAAATTGTCGGGTCTGCTAGCTCCTGCCATCGCAATAAATCAACAAAAATTAAAACAACTAGATGAACAGAGCAGAGCATTTGGCATTGATGGCGAACGAGAAGGAAGGCACAAGTCGAATCATAAGCTATGAAAATCACAGGGCTTGAATCGTGATGTTGATTCACGTCATGATTTCGAGAGAGACAATAAGTGAGATGCACAGCGTGAAATTGTCCAATTTCTGACCGAATTCAAACGTCAAACCTCATAATACAGCACATTGCTCACCATATGGGCAGCTTCCACAATCAGACGGCCTGTTTTCTCCTTATACATCTTCACGAATTCATCTGCATGACTACAGGATAACACATTGCTAAAAAATGCTCTGAATCTGACTGGGCCCCGTAAAATTGGCAGGGTGGAATTCGCTAGGAAAGTGGGAAAAACGAGCCCCAAAATCGAACTGCGACAATTTGAGTTTCTGCTCTGGAAAACTTGTTTCTGCCTAGCTCTGATTCTAACTTGATTTTGGTTTACGATATTTCATTCGAGAACAGCTTGAGAAAACAAAAAACAAGAAAACAAGAAAGTGTCGGTCTACATACGAAGCATGGCATTGGATTGAGCTCGACGGGATCCGTGGTCCACGATCACAATTCCGTCTCCATCGCCCAATTTGCTCTGCACGGGAGTACCCGAAGCAGGCAACGGCGTAACACCACCACCGCCCATAGTCGGCCGCTTGGCCCTCGGTCGACGCGGAAGAAGCAAATCGTGGAAGGAAGAAAATCGAAAGGAACTCAGGTCCCGTGCACTGACATGGCTCGAAGAGCTCCTACTACCGCTGCTGCTGCTAAACCCTAGGCAGGGCTTTGCGCTGCCCAGCGCCCCGCAGGCCTCGGCACCTCGACGAAAAGATGGCCCTGGAACTGGAACTGGAACGACGAGCACGACAGATTGCGCAGGCATCTTGCCTCCCAAGGATCGACGAGCCCCTCGCTCGCGCTCTGCCTCATTCTCCCCTCGACGAAAGCGCTCGGCAGGTCCGGCGGCTAGTCCACTGCGTCGAGTGGCAGTCGTCGCGTGACGAGTGGGTGCGGGTCCAGCCGGCGCGTGACGTCGTGCGTGCCAAGCCGGCGCGTGACGTCGTGCGTGCCATGCCGCCTGGGCCGTAGCTTAGAGGTTGGAGAGTCCCGACCCGACGCGACGCGACGTCGAAGAGGACCATGACCACGTTCCTCTTAGGGATGCTCACGGCTCGGCTAACGGCTAGCCGTCGACTTACCGGCTAGCCGGGACGCTATCCGAGGCCGAAAACGATCTGAACACTCAGACCGAGAATGCGTTTTCGGTCGATTATTTCGGCCAATTCAGCCGAAATTATCCACTAGATTTTATTTCGGCCGCAGTATTCGGCTAGGGACTCAAATTTATCGGCTAGCCGAAAATTTGCCGGCTACGTGACCAAGCCTAACCATGAACCACGGTGTCCGGTGAAGGGGAGCGTGACGGCAGATCTCGACGCGAGGGGCGCAAAGGAGTTCTCGATCGGGTCGCGACTCTTGCGACGACGCGGGACACAGACGCAGAGAGCGAGAGGGCCGGTGAACCTCTGTCTCGCCTTTCTGAGTCCGTGTGGTGAAAGCGACGTCGTCATCATTTCGTGTACTGCCTTCGGATTCGTGGCACGAGATCTATGCTGTGCACTCTGCCCTTCATGCCCCAGGTCCAGATTACTTTCGTGGACAGGAAAGCCAATCTGCTTGCCTGCCGATTACAATGACTCTGCTGCAGACCTAGTCATCTACCGTATCCATCCATCAACGAAAAGCCCAGCATGGTCCCAGGTCCGTCGACAGGCTGCTGATATCCCGAAGGGAATCACCATAGATTCAGTAAAGCTGCATCGATCATTACTCGTAACACCTTGCAGAGATATCGAACTTACTTTTCCGTGGTATGATCGTATGCCTTCCCTTCCATCCCGAGCTGTCTGATCACAGCAGCCTCAGGTTGGGACTTTGGTTTCGGTTGCTGCGTACGAGACGCGTAGGTCGACCCCGGCACGAGTTCTTTATGCACGAGAGTACGTGAACTTGTATTTGGTGGCCAGTTCCCTTCTTGTTTTAGCGTCTTTTGGTAGGTCTGCTTATGAATGTTGATGGTACACAGGACTGGACAGTAGGTCCGTGCGAGACCGACACGGTTGAAACTCGCCATCGTAGGACCGGCAGAAAGTTGTTGAGAAAAGACGGAAAGTGGCGATGACAGTTTCGGTGTTGGGTACATTAGCCTTTAGAACTCGTAGCTGAGGTACCTCCTCTCTCTCCCTCTCTCTCTCTCTCTCTCTCTTGGGCCGCTTTGTCATGAGAGAAGTGTCAACGAACTTCTAGATGGAGCAAATTGGAGTCAGTGGAATGAATCCTCGCACCTGGTGCTGCAGCAACCATATCCAGCTGAGCTTTTAGAGCGGAGTTCGAAGCACGCTCCTCCACGGCTTGTGGCCCGGCAGTGCACTTGCGCTTTCGGTCCTTCAATGCTGGAACTAACTGCGCAACGTACGCCTTGCGTCTGCTGCTGTTGCAGAGTGCAAGCTCCTCCCTTTTGCCCTGCGTACGCTTTGCCATGAGCTCGCAGACGACTGCAGAATTCTATCTAATTCAGCTGACTTGTATCCCAAAATCAGTTTCGGTGCAACCTTTTTGTGCGTTGTGGCAGATTAGAACAATTTCCTCGCACCAGCCCTTTGTCAGACGGAAATTCTTTTGTACTTCTCTCTGTGTTCTCTGCTCACAATCATGACTCCACTGTCAGGGTGTTGAACTCCCTCCCTACAACACCCACACACCTTTGTCATCAAATATCTGCGAAATATCTATTAATGATTTCTTTAAAATAAAGTTGCCTCGAGAGAATTTGCGGATAAGTCTTGCTTCCATTTCGTCACCTTCAGATTGCTTCTATCATGTTAGTCCTGAGCCTTTGATTCACTCTGATGTCGTTCACTATCAAGCTCTCTCATATTTGAAATAAGAAGAAATCAAACCATTTCAAGCATCTGTTAGTAGCATATCCTGTGAGTGGACAAGAGTGCAAAGATGTGTTTACATGGAACCGTCAGGGATCTCGTGACCATTCATTCACCTTGCAGGGCAACGGAAGCTCCATCCTAACATCTTGACGGTAACCCAAAAACCGTGTGTGTTTTCTTCTAAATCTTCATATTTTGTTGCATTTGATGCACAAGTTAATACGCATTGTACATTGAGGGAATTGTCACACAAGGTCATGGAACCCGAACATCACATCTTGAAGTAACAGGGTAGAATGAAATATTACTATATGTGTAATAATGAATGAGAAAGCAGCAGAGTGGAAGATGAACATAGATCAAACACTTTTTGATATATATTGATACGTAAAATTTTCAATCATATATTCCATACTACTAGGAAGTCCATGAAAATATTCTCCAAGATTTAAGTATCAGTTTCTGAATCTCAGAACATTATTGGAAAAGGAATCTATAGTAATCTCAAGGCTAGGTCCATATTTTCCTTAATTTCACATGCGTTCGATTAAATCCTACTGATCGTGCAGTGAACTATATGTAATTCTACATAGTAGCTTCACATGCATGACAATGTCTCAAACACTAATTCATAATCAGCTGAATTGACATTTTCATCTATGTAAAATTTACATAGATATAGATAATCTACATAGGTAGATATCACCATTTACATTGTAAATGGTGATATGTTATCTACGTTAACTACTTTAATCGTGTATCTGTATAGCTTCCTACAGTTTTGACTCGACGACTCATATTTCTGAAGGAAAATGGTACACTATTAAAGTACAGTAGCCTCCCGCCTAAGTACAGCTTGAACCTAAGGAGATTGTGCGTACTTCGGTGCGGAATTTAGACGAATCAGTTCCTAATAGCCTGATTTGGTTGTAATGTCGAAGAAACCAAAAAAAACTTCTCAATGATACGAAATAATAGCAAAGCTTACGAATAGTCATGTTCCTAGTAAAAGAGCTATAGCGAAAGAGTAGAAAGTTAGAGAAGTAGATATTATAAAGTGCGGAACAAACGGGAACAAAGTCTAGAGAGATCCCCACTAAATGGCTAATGAAGTGAAAGATAAGATTTTTCAATCCTCTACTGGTACTTTATTAAAGACATGCTTTGAGAGTAAGCATTTCCGGACTCTTACCTTGAAAACCAAACTCAAGAATCTTCAATACTTGCTTTAAATGACAATCCATGACATTTTGGACTAAATAAATCTGGATGTGTACTTTAAATTGGTGCATATATAGGAGACGGGAGGTTACTGTTTCATGTGATTGGTGTGTATCTTTTTCTCAAGTCTCAAACTTTTTAGATAAAGACCAAAATCCTTATTACCTCCCAAGTAGGGAGGAAATTCAGTTGGGCGGATTACATAAGCTGCAGGTACAAATACGATATTAAATACAATTGAATCAACTGCCCTTAACTGAATGTATCATTTCCCCATGAACGATAGTTGCGCTGCACAGGTTTTTCTTCGCGTTAATTCCTTACGACTATTTCAATTTGGGAATATACCCTGAGATGTGAAAATAGGATTCAGAGACATATTAAAACTAACATACGATTGATACAAAATCAAGAAGATGCGTACACGTGATCAACATCACAAAAATCCACGTGACCATCCACTACGGCCACCGAGAATCTAATGGCTACTCAGAAATTAAGTATATCCATGCAAACAACGTGGAAGACTTCAAAATGCCAAAGAATGATAGGTACGCCCTCGTCGAGCTCAGCTTAATTTAAGTCGGAATCGAGAATTGTGTCTTTAATTGTCACTCACATAGGCTCGCATGAATCACAAGGATTCACTAACTGAACTTTCGATGCTTACATCAGACAGAATTGTACGATGAATGCGATGGTGTATCGCAGAAGACACTAATATTAGATGGATGCCCGAGTACGGAGCTCCGAGCCCGAGCACGTGCGTTTGGAGAAAATCGTTGGCACAGAACAAGCGCTGCTGCAGTACCAAGTCATGCCCAAATACTCTTCGATGCCTACAACTGGATCACACATTGAATGACTCACGTACTTATGTCATTCATGGGCTGAATAGTCGAGGCATCTAATGGATGCGAGCTCGTGGAGCGAGTGGCAAATCAGCGAGAAACATGAGAATATGTGATTGTCGTAGTCGTAGTAGTACAGCACAGTGCGTCGTCCCTTCTCCCTGCGTCCCTGCGTCCCTCCCTCCCTCCAAGGAATGGAGGAGGATGCAAGCATCGCGCACATTCATTAGCATTAGAGCGAATTAGGAATTAGGAATTTGTGTTGGGGGTGAGCAGCAGCCGCCAGAAGGAACAAAAGAGCGCTCCCACATGAAAAGCCTCCAACTAATAGGACAAGGAGGATCCGGGGAACCTTCTCCGGCCATCGTCAGCAACTCGCAGCTCGGCACAATGTGATTTGAATGGGATGCCCTGGAGGCCAGTAGCGAAAAGAGCGAGTGTGGGAGATGGCGGATCTGGAAAGGAAGAAGAGAGTGCGCGAGCCCAACTAGCCCCCGCTTCTTACAGATAACCTGCTCCGAATCTGATTGGGCTCGCATCGAGGGCGTGCACAAAAGTCGTCCAGGGCCTATCTGGCCCATGCACACCGTGGGGTCTGCTGCTGTCTGTGCTCGGAGCGCCCGGGCCCGATGCATCAATGGACGGATGGACCCGGCGCAGGAACGAGCGAACGACGATCGACCTATCGTCTATCTTCAGAGAGATAGCGCGAGCAACCATCACCCATGCTTCCATTTGCCGTGATGGTCGTACTTGTTTGTGGCCCATGGGCGATTTCCGTTTTCCTCCCTGCGTTTCGCTTTGGAGTATGTGTCAATCTAGAACTTTTTTCCCTTCCCTCTTTTCTTATTCAATAAAAGGCCCGAGAAAAGATCTGGTGGAGGCTTCTAACTTCCAAATCTTCCTCGAATTGGATAAGAAGATAAGTCGAATGCCCGGCCTATGCATCCCTCTTTTCTTATATTTTTTTACTGCTTCTTGCTCCTTGGTACCTGCCAACTTCTGTGTCCATTTTCGCTGCCCTGTCCACTAGCTAAGAGTGGGAATGAAAGAATGTAGACTTGGAAGCGACGAGGCGAAGCCCATGACGGCTACCCTAGTGCGAACGCTTCTCGACATCCACGTGAAAAATGGAGAGAAGGTACAAGGAAGACGGTCCGTACCCGTCTCGATCCAATTCTACTCTACCCGTAGATGCACTGCACTGCGAAGAGATGCGAAGAGAAGGGAATATGGGCCGGATCTCTGCACTCTGGCGAGCGATGAGAGCTCATCGGTTACAGTACATCGGAAGAAGGAGCATGACGCGGTCGCATTTGAGTTTGGAAAGGCGTCGTGACGATCGAGACGACGCCAAAATTGGAGAGGAGGAGGAGGCCGTGCCCCCCCAAAGTGCTGGGTAGAAAAGGCCCTGATTAGAAAGAAAGCCATTTGGGTGCTCCAGAAATTAAAGGTGTGACGACGTGAATTCGTACTACTGTACAGAACACGCGGCCCACGAACCGAGGAATTTCTGCTGCGGAGAAGTCACTGGCATGAAGATTCACCTTGTGGCGCATGGATGGATGGGTGGGGGAGAGGAGGAATGGAGGGCGGGTGCCTGCCTGCGTGCCTGCGCAGACTGGACAGAGAGGAAACGTCAATGCGCCTCGTCTTGTCTCCAAGGGTGAGGTGTGCTCCTCTCCCTCCCTCCCGTCCCGTCCCGTCCCTTCCCCTGCCCTCGGTAATCCCCCGGGTCCAAAAAGTTCACGGACATTACTACAGCTGACGCTCACGCCCGCCATGAGCTTCACAATGCGAATGCTTGAGCAGTGGCTTGAGGAAAACGATTACGCTGCGACATAAGCTGCGGGTTGGGCTTATGCCTCGATTTGCGCCCGTCGGATTATCCTCCTGAACAGTCTCGCAATCCGCTGCTTTCCATGCAATACCGCGGCTCCTGGCCATCGCTGCTGCTATCGTAGTCGATGATGATAACCACAGCGCACATCCGCAGTCGGGCCGGCCGGCCGGCCGGCGTGCTGGCTGGATGGCCGGCTGGCTGGCTGGCCGGCTGTTACAGCAGCACCGTGCCCGATGGATGCCCGATCGCATGGCGAGGTATCGGGGCGAAGAATCCGGTGGAAATCGCGAGACGAAGAGGGGCGACGGGGAGATGGCAGCGAGGAGGAGCCGGGACAGGATTTGTCGGGGGTGGCGACCGGGAAGTGAGGGGCGATCCGATGGACGGCGGGCGGCTCGTTTCGGAAACGAGAGTATAAAACTCGAGCCCTGGAGCTCTAAATCTGGTAGCTGTGGCATGATGATGCTGACGATGGGGGGTGAGGATCACAAAGCGTTCCGCGACGAAATTCGTTTCCGGGCGAATTCAATGTAGGGGTAGATGCAATGAAGAGAATCAGAAAAGGCCCGGAGAACCCAAGACGAGGTCCGCCCACATGATTTCAGTGGGATGCTAGTCTCTAGAGCGATCCCCAGTGGGGCCCAGCCCATCAATAGATCTAGTTCAATGGAACCTGGAAGCCAACGCTAGCAGCGAAAGGCGATTTCTGTTGAATCTTCTAGGACAGCGTGTCTACCCACCAACAGACTGACAGCTCGGTCCCGGTCGACGATGACGGACTGACTGGCACAGCCCCGCGACTCATTAGAACATTCAATTCAATTCATCCCTCCCTTCGTTCCGTGCTTGTGCACAGGAGCGACGGAAAAGATGTGCCCTTTTGCAGCCCTGGCCCTTTTGGGGCACGGGGTTGGGTGACAGGGGACCGGCTGGGGACGCTTGGGCAAGAGAGAGAGAGAGAGAGAGAGAGAGCGACGGAGCTTCGAAACATGAAGAATCGTTTCCGTGTGCGTGTGTCCGGTCTCGGAAGGCAGACGCAGACGACTGGCGAGGGTGCATTCACTCGTCGCCCTTTTCCATGTGCACTTCAGTGCCATGTGCGTTGGTTCCCATGGTTTCGGAACGTGCGTGATGAACCTCGAGGATCAGCGTCTCACTCGGTCACTCTCCGAGTGAGACGCCACGAGTTCAGTTATGGGTTTTCTGGTCTACGGCAAGCACAACTACTGCTCCTGCTGCTGCTACTACTACTACTACTACTACGACCAATTATTTCGAGTCTGCTGCCCTTTGGCACAGCCATCATTTGAGCATCGGAAGGATTGCGTCGTTCGGGCCCAAGGCTGCTTTTGAGCCCCCGCTGTGACCACGACATGACCGACCCCTAAACACCTGCAGGCCAATATTCCAGGCCTCCATGGAAAGTGTCATTTCCACGGCCTTCCTGTTTCAGGATGGCGCACGAAGCTTGGTTCAGCCCTTCCGTGGGACAGGCCAACCAGCAGGATCTGAGCACGAGCAAGGCACTAAGGACATCATCTGCCACTCGATTGCTCGGCATAATACACAAGCATCTCCTACACAGCCCAGACCAAATTCCGAGCGAGCGCACATTCTGCCCAATGTCGCATCTTGCACCACTCGCGCACGGTCGTCATTCTTTCGAGGGAGGGAGGGAGGGAGGGAGGGAGGACAGGGACGGGGGCCGGGGGCCACGGACAGGAGACTAAGGACTAGAGACGCCATCATCAGCATCATCATTATCATCATCTGGCGAGCTTAGTGCAAGTTAAACTAGGTACTGTTGCCATGGAGGACAGCAATATGAGATTGATGGCTAGCAGTTGAGTGTGGACAGATTCTCCAATGCTTACGTTTTCGAGCTCGCTGATCATACCGCCTCAGATTCCCGAGGGCCTCGTCATGATCAACGTCTGGTTTGAGCTTTCTGCACATCAAATCACATCACAAATGCAAAGGGGGCTTCGTTTACAACCTGCAAAGCTGCTTGTCCTTTCCCGTGTCCTGCCCATTGTCGCCGGTGCTCTATCGTTTGCACCAGACCAATCCAGACGAACGGCAGTGTCCGAAGCCTTACAACACGAACACAATCCGCTGTGCGATGATTCGCAATGCGCAGTCCAGCACATCTGCACGGTGACTGTTCCCTGAAGCTCTTGCCGGGCGCAATAAACAATCGTTGTTTTCGTAAACAATTCCTCGAAGCACCACAGCCGGTACTGTGATGGGGAACCAACCAACCAACCAACCAGCCAACCAACCATCCATCCCTCCATCCATCCACCGAGTGCAGAGCGCTTGGTGTTCTCACTCCTCGTGCGGGTATCAGTGAACAGCCCAAACAGCGAAGCAGCTGCAGTCTCAACATCTACTCAAGATTAGAGAGAAGCAGCTCTTGCACTGCTTTGGTAGGGACTGCTCCGCTCGCTCATTACGCTCTCATCAAAGTCAGCATCATATCCTCAGAGAAGCAGGACCAGTGGAAGATGCAGTTGGCAGCGAGAGAACGATTCAACCAGCGCGAGTCCGTGAGCTTGTCCAGCTTGAGATGCGATCGGCTCTGAGAGTCAACCTTCGAAATCGGACCTGTAGAATATCCTCTTTGAGAGACCCAGAATCTCGCGCGCACCAAAAGAGTACCAGAATATCCAAACGTGGTAGTAAATGCGAGCAGAAACATGAGCCATCCTCTATAAAACATGCTGTCTTGAAAGTACCGGTCGAGCGAAGACTGCTGCTCATCACCAACAGTGCGAGGCAGTGCACACCTTTCCGAAGAATGTATGCCATGGCCTAGCCAGCACGGAATCCGTAACTTGTTGCAGCTCGCCTTTTCCCATTGATTCAGTCGCCTAGAAGTTGGCTGCCGCTGCCGCTGCTGATGTGACTCCTCGGAGCCCCTTTGTGATTCTTGCAGTCGGCATCTATCAGGCCTAAGCTATAGCCAGCTGAACAGTTGCTCGCCTGTACAGGCGATGCGGTTGGTCCCTGCGTCCCATGTCAGGCCGAAAAGCTTGACGGTGTGGAACGCAAGCCCTGCTCTGGGCCTACGTTGAGGCTCGAGGCTTGTGGGATTTGGGCTCGGCTCCGTTTGGCATCAAGCCACTTGACTTCCGATCTTGCATTGCTAGCTAAGCGAGGTTGACATATCCTTCATTGACGAATTCGCCTCAGCAACCATCATGCTCCGTGAGAATCGAGCGCTGTGTGGCTCAAGATACGCAGTGAGAGCTAAGGGTCGCTGGGGAGGCACACGTGCTGCCTGCTTGAGTGGGGCTGTGCCTGAATCTCTCTCATGAATGCTGCTCTCAACGACTCGGGTTGGGCTGAAAAAGGATCCAGCCCAGGTTCACTGGAAAAGCTCGGATGGATATTCAAGGGCAAGAGGGCAAGGATCAGTCTGACCAAAGAGCCGATGATTGATCAGGTTATCCCGATTATTCCGAGAAGATAGAGAGAGAGAACAGGATAACAACTCAAGCCGAAAAGGGCCAAGAAACACAAAAGGCAGCCACACAAACAGATGTGCAAGTAGAGTATCGGGGGAAAAAATTGCTCAGCATAATCTCTTCAATTTACACAACTGAAGGTCCGAAATAAATACAAAATCGTGAGCCCTGCTCGGAGTTGCTGACCGAGCAGAAGCCCTCGTTTCAATGATTTTGCTCTCGTAAGTGTCGATGACAATTGTCAACCTCATCTTTCGCCAACTGGAAGCTCATGAGACTGACCTAAGTGCCGTTTCTATGCTACAAAACTGCTGCTGGTCCTTATCTTAGTAACTCGTGCGTTTGAATCAACTTGGTCTGCACCGAATGTCTTTGTATCGAAGAAAGGACACAAACTAGACATTATGTACCTCAACTTCTGCTCCCTGTGGGTTTTCAACCCAGAATGTAGTAATGTGTCAGAAACTTCATGTTTTCCACTGTAGAATTGCTGCTACTGCTGCTGCTGCTGCTGATCCAAAATTGCCTCCATCTATACTCTTAAAATGAATGAAACAGTCTTCAGAATCATGTAACGCCGATGCTCCACTTGCCATGACACCGGCTCGTGACGGCAGTATTGGATTCATCTATCTTCTGCCCGATTCCCTACTCCCTTCCACCAGAAGCGCTGTGAAGGTACTCGGGTGGAATCTGGTCTGCCTCTTGGACAATTCGTTCCACCCTTTTGACTCCCCTTGTTCGAATCCTTAGGGCTCTGCACGGGTTGAAATTCTCGCCCTCCAAGACCGCCATGGCGATGGTAAAGCTCGAAGCGCTCTGTCTGCCCTGCCCTGCCTTGCCTTGCCTTGCCCTGCCCTGACGCGCTCCTTCTGTGACCTAGGTTAGCAATCTAGAGTCCAATGGAGACCCAAGCTATGTCCTGTATAGTGGTGGTGGTGGTGGTGCGCGGTTGTCGTGGTCGAGGATGAGGGCTGAGAAATCTGACGGGCCGCCCTCCGTCTGCGAGGTGGATGTCATCGTCCGAAGCAATGTTGCGGCTCTGTCGACTCGGGCGGCCGATGATGGTGCACCAGACCAGCTTGGGGGCTCGCATGCGCAGCGGGGGTCGAATTGTGAACTGTGTGTGCTAAGCTGGCGTGCTCATTCTATAAGAAATTCCAAAGGTTGTCCTCCCAGAGAAGCTCGTCCGAGGAATCGTCGTCGCAGAGAAAACTCGTGCTCTGCGGCATGGCGTAATCGTTGGCGGCCGGGTCCAATCTCACCAGCATTGCATGCGCCATCTCCTCGACGAAACCTGGTCTACAGTGATCCTCCTCTAATCCTCCTATGCTTCTCCAATCCCTGCCTTGCCCCATGGCCCCGTCGTGCGTCGCCCCTGCCCTGGCCACACCAGCCAGCGCCTCTTCGCGTTGCTGCTTCTGCTGGCGGGATTTGCTGGCCAGCCAGCTCGCAATTGCTTCGCGCTGCGAATCGGCGCAATTGGCATCGGGCGAGCTGGCGTTCTGCGAATCCCAGCTATGGTCGTTGTCGGCGGCTTCGAGCGAGGATGTGGGTTTTTCCATGTCATCGTGCGAGTTGGAGCTGCTGATGACGACGGTGTCCTCCTCCTCCTTGACGCTGTAAGATGGATCGGGGGCGAAGGTGGAGGCCGCGGCAGCGGCGGCGGCTTGAATGTCCTTGTGCGACAGTTTGAGGCGCTCGCCCTTGGAGAAATTGGGCTCTTCTACATCGGTGGCGGACACGAGAATTGACAGGAGCGAGGAGGACTCTTTGGGGAAGTTGAAGGCCGCATTCGGCCCTCGCAGGCACAGAAGCGCCGCGTCGTAAGCTCTGGCCGCCATCTCGGGGGTGGGGAACGATCCGAGCCAGATGCGAGACCTCTTGTTCGGCTCCCGGATCTCCGACACCCATTTTCCCCAGGCCCGCATTCGCACGCCTCGATAGCGACTACTCTTCTTCCCGGACTCTGGTGTGATGGGTGCGAGCAGGTTCGCTCCTCGCTTATGCTCGCTGTTGGGCGAGTTGTCCCTCTTTTTGTCAACCATTGCTCTCTCTCTCTAGACTCACACGATCGATCTGATCGACCCACCGACCACTTCTCTGAATGCCTCTCTCGCTTCTATGGAGCAGCTCTGCGCTCGCTCTCTCTCTCTCTCTCTCTGAGTTCTCGAGAAATTTTTTGCGACCGACAGACACGATGGTGATGGTGATGGCAGACGCAAGGTCGAGGACAGAAGACAGAGAGAGGGAAGTATGGACGACGCACGCTTGCTGGCTGGCTGGCTCTGCGAGCGAGAGCAGTAGTCGTCGTCGTTCTCGTTGTGGGAGTGAGGAGGAGGAGGAGGAGGGGGATAAGGACGGAGTGCGCTATGCAGACAGAGAAAGAGAAGTCGTAGTTGTCGTTGTTGTCGTGAGAAGGGGAAGTGAAGTTTTACGAGGAGGGAGGTGGAAGCAGGAAGAGGAGGAGGAGGAGATGCAGTCTAGAGGAGGAGGAGGAGGAGATGAATGAACGAATGATTGAGTGAATGATGTAGAAAGCGAAGATGGGCATGCGGTTTTGTGTGTTCGCATCCCCGAGTGAAGCGAGGAAGAGAGAGAAAAGACTAGAGAGAGAATTCAGCACACGGTGAAGGATCCGCGGCATCGATCCGATATGATAAGAGTAAAATGTACCCGCAAAGGTTAAGATATTAGCCATGGACCCCACCCCATCTCCCCCTCTCCCCTCTCCCCTCTCCCCACAATACCCTTCGCCCTGTTCCTCGTCCTCCCTCTACCCGTTACTCTACTCTCTACTCTACTCACGTCACTCCCTCCCCCTCCCCCTCGCCCTCTACGCGCGATCGCTCGCTCGCTCGCTCGGGTGCTGGTGCTGGTGCTGGTCCTGGTCCGTTTGGACGGTCGGACCAGTCCGGTCCTTATTCCATTCTCTCCTGGGGGGGCTGCAGTCCTGTCTCCCAGGGCCCGGGATCCCACCCTCCAGAAAAGCCGCAAACCGTGCTCGTCCCTTCTTTCCCTTTTTGCTTTCATTTCTCGGCCTCTCGCTGTGACGTGACACGAGGTCAAAGCCCAGCGGACGTTGCCATGCTGTACGTTCGCGCTCCGGTTCACGTTTTTCCCCTTTTTTATTCTGCTTCGATTCCTCGACCTTCTCAGCGTCTGCGCTCCTGTGCTCGAGGCTCCAATCCTCTCTTTTCTCCATCGCAGGCAGGCACGCTCTGCGCTATGAAGAATGTTTCCGATGTCGTCGTTCACGAGCGTTCGTTCGTTCGTGACCAAGGACCCATTGGCAGCACGTAAGTATCCTTCGTTGTACGCGGTATCGGGAGATGGCCGCCTCTCTCCTCTCTTCCCCTCTTCTCTTCTATTTTCTCTTCATCATTCCTCGAAATTTATGGGACTCCACGAGACGAAGACCATTTGAAGCTTCCAAAGAAACTCCTTAAACTTGATTTTCATCTTTCCAACATTATGAGCTTTAGCAGCACAGCCATTCATATTCGTCGACCCCTAGTACCAGAAAATGTTCTCCTGATGAAACAATATAGTGGTCAAACCCATTAGTGCTTCCCATTATTTTTCGACGTGTGACTTTTATTGCTCGCATTTCCAGTATCGTTCTATTCGCGCAGTTATCACCTCTCTAGGCCCTTCAAAAGATAACTAGAATCACAACTAGCACACATTCTAAATGATTTGCGCAAAAACTTCTTCAAGTCCTTGATTTTTACGTTCCTTTCCATTCATTTCAAGTGGATGAATTCCACGGCTTCTCGAGTCTGCAGTATGATGCAGAGGTCTCGATGAGAAATTTTATTTTATTTTTCCCCAAATCACTTTACCGGATGCACTTTATTGATTCAAGCCTGGCGATATTGAAGCAACACTTGGGAGGGAGTGTTGAATTCTCAAAGCCATACATTTGTGGCTGTGAGTACCAAGACTTTCTCTTTAGACCTCAGCCCTCTGGATCGCTGCTTTCCTCAAAGAAAGCGAATTTGCCGGTGGAGTGCACGGTTGAGAAAAAATGTGCAAACAGAGAGAAGCAGAGGGAGTCGCAATTCTCGGAGCTAGCCGACAGATCCACTTCATCCTCGAAACCACGGCCCTTTTGTTTTCGCTCTCGCCTTTCTCTTTCTCTTGCTCTCTCTCATTCCGCCACCACCCACCACTCCTTTTCTGCCCGGGCCTTGCTCCCGCAGCTATTCTCCGAGCTGCAGCCAATCAATCAATGGCGGCCCTGTCCGAACCTGCCCAGCATCTCTGGCCCCGGACTGCCCGTCGCGGGCCTGCCATCCGGTACGGCTGATGTGGTGGATAACCACGAAAAAGGCTGGTTGGTTGGCGCAATGCCAAACCCCGAAGGTCTCCAAACCCCACGAGCAGCAAACCTCGCTGCTCGAACTGCGGAATCCGCAATCCGGAGGAGGAGTGCAGAGGGTGCCAAATTGGCCAAATCGGTCTTGCTGCTGCCTTGCTGGGGAGGGATTCGCGCCCTCGCTCTGGCGGACGCGATATCCAGTTGACGACAGAAAACGGAGTCGTTGCCAAATTGGCAAGCTATCCTCGTCGAGCAGTGATTCTCTCTCGCTGCCTTCGCTCTGGCGGACGCGATAACCAGTTCACGACAGAGTGCACCTTTCGGGGGGAGCGGAAGTCTAATAAGTTGGCGGGGTCGAGCTGAAGCGAGCTCCCATATCCCGCACAGCCGTCAGCAGTGCAACGCGCTCACGAGAGGGCGGAGCCCGGCGGACGGATAAGGTCGCACGAAAACACTTTCCCTCGACGAAAACCTCGAGGGCCGTCAGTCGTGCCTTACCACGTAGCAGTGTTAGACCGGCTAGTTTAGAGGACAGGGAAACGAGTTAAGGACAGGAATCCGACGCGGTAGTGACACCCTGTGGGTCTGGATGACCTTGGCCTGGGCACCACGGCATGGATAAGGCCCGGCCGGCGTGTGCCTTTTGCCCCGCTCGCTCCAATCCCCCGACACGGTCTTCCACAGTGTTCTCTCTTAAGGTTACTTTCTGGTCCTTCCTTCCACTCTACTCAGCGCATTAAAAAAGGCCCCCGGGGGGTTGAGGTTTTTTTTTTTTTTTTTTTTCTGGCAAAAGCGTAATGAGTGCGAGTCCTCCTCCTCGAGCGAGGGCCTTTTTCAAGCACTTGGGAAAATGCTCGTACGAGGAAATTGGCGAACCGCACATGTGACACGCTGCATGAGTGACACATGTACCCTTCTCGAAACTTGTTATTAACCAAATATTATTCCCTCCCCCGGGGATGGATGGATGATGGCCAACGTAAACGTATTTCTTCTTCGCTCCCGAATGTCGTCGGTCGTTTTTATTATTATCATCACCGGGGAGGAGAAGGAGGACCCGGAAGGCTCTCTCTACTAACACATACAGAAGTCCCACAGCGGAGGACAATTTTCCACAGTGCGCGAGCGAGAATCTCCTTACGCTGCTGCCAACAGGACCGAGGATCTTCCCTGTCCTCGACGGATCCCGTATACTCAGTCGATCGTCGATCGTCGCCAGAAATCTCCGGGGAGCCTCATATGCCTCTGCAATCGTCCCCAAATCGGATTGGCGGCCGTCTCTGGATCTTACGAGCACCAGTTGTAAGATGAACCCCCCGAATATAGCACCCCGTTTGGCAACAAATCTTTTCGGACAGCCAAGTCGATATGCGAGTCGGTTGACTTTGCGAATTTCCTCGTTTGGTGACTCGACTCAAGTCGATATGCGAGTCGGTTGACTTTGCGAATTTCCTCGTTTGGTGACTCGACTCGACTCGCAGCCCCGACAAGTGCGGGATTAGGCGAACATCGATCAACTTCGTTTCGACGATTTTCGGGCGATTCAAATATAGTAATATGGTCTTTCAATCAGACCTTGCGATGAGCTTTAAAGTTGTCATCGCAAGTGGGATTAGGCGTTCAAAGACTGCGGACGATTTGTCAAATGGGCGACTTGTAGCTCTCTTGGGCGCAAGATCTGTAGTTGACATCGGCCATCACTCCTCGCGCGAGGGCATGCGGCGATGGTCTACTACGGTGGCTAAAGTGCATTGCATTACGGCTGTAAGGAGCTGCGGAGAACTACGGTCAATGGTTCAGCCCGTTGACACGGGTAACCATCTCTCTGAAGCTTGGATCCAATCTCCACGACAAGGCACTCGTACTTGCTTCAATGATAAAGGGAACGAAAAATAGATGCACGAAAATATTCGAAGTATCTCGTGGTCATAAACTCTGTGTGTATAGTCAAACAGCGATGGAGGCAGGCCCATTGAATCTTTCGCATTCTATTCCATTTTCCTTTCTTTCTCCGTCGAACAAAGAGTAGAGAGACCACCACGTCTCTTCATCAGGTTGGCTCTTTCACTGGATAGATTTAGCTTCTTTTTACCGATTCGGTCCTGTCCAGTAGTGGCATAAAAAGTTGAATGGTCAAACAGCGAGGGGAGTTGCACGGCCCTGGTCCCTTCACACAACAGAGACTCGAACACGAATGGTAACATCTGTCACGTAATCTACAAATGCTACAAACTAATGATATGGAATTATGCCTCGATTGTTGGAGCGTATATAAACCCGCGATCATTAGTTCTTACAAGTATTCTTCCACCCAATGGTATTCTGAAACGCGCCCAGCTCGAGTCTCACCCAGCCACGGATCGACATCTGCTAACTGCGTATTTCTGATCGAGTTGTCGACACTCTTCCTGTTTGGCCTTCTTTTGCTTCTCCCTCTAATTGGCTCCTGGAAGTTGTCACTTGCTCCTCTTCCTCTTCGCATGCTTCAAGTTTCTCGACATTCTTTGTATATCCAGCTTCCGACTGGACACGACTTCATTCTAAAGTCGAGATCCAAATCTCAGAAGCCCCAAAGGGATCCAAAGCCTCCACAGCCTTCACATTCTTCGTGAAAGAACTTCTTTTTCCAGCACAAGGCCATGCTTTAGACCACAATTTGACTCAGGTCTTCGTTGACCGCGGTCAAACAAGTGATGCACTAGAACAGGGTTGCTATTGCAGTAAGCAGGGGGGATGCACCCCACAGATAGACATTTTCGTCTGAACCCTCTTTCTATGTTGAAATCCTTGGTGTGCACCCTTCACTTAAAGCCCAACTCGGCTAACTAACTATACCCTTGAGTCAACTGGATTATCGTCTAGTCCATGATCGCTGCTCTCAGACAACTCCATTAAGCCTCCATCTATACCTTCGTAAATTCTTCTCATCAAAGCCCAACTTTTAGAGTATTTTGCGTTTTGCTTGCACCACCCAAATTCTTTTTAGATCAAAGGGAACGCTCGGATCTCGTTGTCTTCCAACAAATGTAGTACTTATCTGGCTGCAGTGCTTTAACTATGTCCCATTCGTGGTCCTCCTTGGGAAGTATATGGGGGGTCTTCTTATTTTCTCCCAGATTTGACATGTCTCTCACCTTTGGATCTGTCCTTTTTTTGCATGTGCATTTGCATTCGCTAATCTCTTCTTGTGAACTTGACCATGATATTTAAGACCTCTGAATATACCTCTTCTTGTGACGCTGACCACACTCCATCTTCCTTTTATTACTAAAGCATGTACACCTACCTTTATTCGACTTGTTCGTCTATATGGTTTCAAAATAAGTGCCTTCTCCCTTTCCAATGTTTCCAAGATGTTGATGATCTATCTGTTGAGCATATGCTACTTTTCTTGTTAAGATGCCAATGCTCTTTCCCTT